AAAAATAAATTTTATATAAGATGGATATGTCTATTGAATTTTCCGTACAACAGGTGCATTTAATCGAAACTTATACTCGAAATTCTAAAATTGTTTATTAAACATCTAGAAATAAATCAAAGATTAGAAGAAAGCAATAAACACGTGATTATAGGCAAACGATACTGACGAGAATGATAATAGAAAAAAAAAATGACGTTATGTCGATATAAGACTTGTCTATCTCAACATATATTGCTATTGGATATCTTCTATACACATAAATACAAGTCACGTTGCTTTTTTTTTATTTTTAATTAACGAATCGTGACGAATAATTTTATTGAACAAAACGGTTTTTTCGAAAAAATATCTAAGCACATGGAAAACAACTTCAATTTCTTCTATAGAATATAAACGTTTATTCGAAGAAAAAAAGAAACACATGAAAATTAACATCCAATTGTATGTTTTCTTTTCTCTCCTGGAAACAATATGATCGTTTTGTTGTCTGATAATATTGAACAAAAAGAAACAGATAAAATACATTTTCATATCTAATTATATTGTGCAAATTTTACTTTCATATTATTTCATTTTTTTATATTTCATATTTGAAAATGCATAACTGTTTTATTGAGTTATTTTCCAAAAAAAATATATGAGTACTCGAGTGAGTACTCATACCACTACTTGCGAGTAAAGTTAAACCAGCAACAACTGAATCAGTACGACTATGAGTACTCAATCAGTAAGAATACTCGTGAATTTTTACGAGTACTCATTTGAGTAATCTGAGTACTCATGCTGGCAAGTCGTACTCGCTTGATGAGTAGTTTCACTAGGGGTGTGTCTTTCTCTAGTGCGATTTTGATTTGGATAAAACAATGAATACAACAGCAATAATTCTCAACAAAGTTCCACCAACAAATATCAAATAGTTTCTCAGTCCTCTCATATCTTTGATATAGAAGATTGACCAAAGTGCAGCAATTGTCGCTGGTCCAGTTGCTACAACACATAATACCCGAAATAAATGCAGGTAATATACTTTCAATACAAATATATGGACGATTACGTTTGAAAATAAGATATATACCATAGTAGACTGATGATGTTAGTAAGATACCTGTATACATAGCAAATATATAGTTAAGACCATTTTTCATTGCTCCTGGATATTTATCTTGATGATCTTGAATATAAGTACTAGGTGTAAAGACAAGACCAAACAAAGTTCCAGCTACAATTGCTAGACTACAACCAATAATACGTTTTTTCATGTTCACAGTTAATAGTCGTGAGCTATCAATCGATTGTGATACCGTTAATAAAATGCCTGAAAGATCTGTAAATAATTCCAAGATAATTAAATACGGGAATTTCTACATCTTCTGGTTTCAAACCAAACCAACCAAAATGACCACTTGCCCATCCTATCGAAAAAGAACATTAATTATATTTTCTCGTCAAACGTTATATAATGTTTTACCCGTGAATTTATTTGTAGTAGACCAAAGTAACATTGATAGAAATAACATAGATAAAGAGAATATTTCCAGTTGCCCATAACATTCCACCAATCATAACCAGAGGAAAAAATGGTGGATTTTTGACAATTACATTCACAATAGCACCAGTAATCCAAAGTCCTACACATAAGAAAAATTGAAATGACAGACCATCTCCAACAGGATATTTTGCTGCAGGTACAAGACTTGAACCGAAAAAGAAAACAGCTACTGCAACAGAAATATAGCCCGTCCAAATTGAGGGACTATCAAATAAAGTTGTCGTATTATTGGTTGTTAATAAACAGTCCATAAAAATAACGTGCGACTAGTTAAATAAATAAGCACTTATCTGATGATAACAAGAAACAAAAGAACCAAGCGATATTTAGCACTTTTACGTATATACGAATACAAAAGATACAGGTAAACATTGTGTATATACGAAATTATCGTTATATAAGCAAGTCATTTTTTAATATTTCGTTAATTTTCGCTTTGTGTTGTAAGGTAAGTTGATGTTATTTCATCATTATATCAGATAATGTCAGTATTCCTATCGTTTATAAAGTTTTCTTTTAATTTTTTTACATCGAAACATATTTCGAAGATGAAATGTGAATGGTACGATAGAGTAATTAAGCTGCTTATTGTGCTAGAAAACTTACCATTAGTATCGATAGAAATCCATCGATGTGACTGATCTAATAGTAGTTCGTCAAACTTAAGATATCTTGAAGGTGTGCGTGTGTAAATACAAAGAAGAAACACCCACACCCTATATCCGTTGCTAAAAAGTTAATAATTTATCTAATTTATTTTTGATCAAAAACAAAAATGATGAGTGTTGCAGAGGAAATCTTCTTGGGTTTAAGTGGTCGACCGAAAAGCTTGTCGAATCTTCAGTGGCTTCATTATGATGATGAAGGATCATTTATATTTGAAAAAATCGGTCTTCAAGATGAATATTATGTGGCACGAGCAGAACATCGTATTTTCGAATTATATTCTGGTGATATTATTGTTAAAGCAGCAGGTAACGAAAAGAATCGTCTTCGTATTGTTGAACTTGGATCTGGTACAGCTAAGAAGACAAGTATTCTTCTTCAAGCTGCTTTAAAATATCAAGGAGGTCCTATTAATTATTTACCTATTGATGTATCATCGATAGCACTTGATGAAGCTCAATTAAGTTTAAAACATCTCGCTCCCGATGTATGTATAATGCCACAACTTAAAAATTATGCTACAGATGATTATATTCTTCCAAGTTTTAATGGATGTACACTTGTTATGTATATTGGTATATCGATTGGAAATTCTTCGGACGAAGAAGCAAAAAATATTCTTCATCATGTTTATGATCAATTAAAAGTAGGAGATGCATTATTGCTTAGTATTGATGCATGTCATGATCCTACTGTATTATTATCTGCGTATAATGATAAAAATGGTGTTGTTGGCAGTTTTCAATTGAATGTTCTACGTCGATTAAATCGAGAATTTGGTTATAATTTCGATCTTGATCAATTTCGTTATCAACCTGTATGGAACAAGCATACTTCTCGGGTAGAACAACATCTTCAAAGTTTATGTTCACAACAGGTGAAATGTATCGATCAATCAGGGGAAAAAACTGTTCATCTAGACAAAGGTGACATGATTAATATGATAGATAGTCATAAGTTCAGTATCGAAGAAATAACTATGCTTCTTAATAATGCTGGTTTCATCATTGAACACATATGGAATGATGAACATAAATGGATTAATATTATATTAGCACGTAAATTATCATTGGCATGTTAAAACATTCTTTATTACTAACAATCTATATTTATTTTATTCTTGCTATGGAAAGAAATACCTGTATTCCAGAAAATTCGAAGTCAATTCGTTGAAATATTTCTAAAAATTTGACTATAATTTGTCCAGTTTTTCATCTTTATTCTTTTTTGAAAAATAATATCGAATTTTAGTCATTATATATTTCTTTGATTAAAACAGACTGCAAACCATATTTTTCCTTACCAATATACAGAATATTATAATGCATGTCTGGAAAAAACAATGATGTATCGAAACGTCCTGTACGACAACTCAAAAAAACAAGACCCAGGATTAGAAGCTTAAGAACATACGTATTATAATCTGATAATTTTAATAGTTTAGTTGTTGCATTATTGCAAAATAGTTTTAATAAGTTTGTCAATCTAATAGTCTTGCTATAGTGCATATACATAAAAGAGTTCAAAATCAATTTTGATATGCAATGATAAAGAGATCTACACCGTAATTTGTTTTGAAGTCCTACGTTTTATAAAATATGTCTTTAATAAAGCTACAACATTTTTAAACTTTATTGTTCATTCGTCAAATATCAAACTTTTAGAAAATGCTTGATTTTATACAAGGTAGAAATTCAATTTGATTTCTTGCTGCAAGTCAAAACTAATATTGATTAATTCTCATTCAGATCTAAGTACAATCATATCCGCATGCAGACTGCGACAGTCCAGGGCCAAGTGAATCGAGTTTCAATGAACTTTACTTGTAATGAAACAAAAACTTAATCATTTTCTTCGAGGTTCAAGAGAAGAAGTGATAGAAATGTTTGTAAGATGATTGATTTTTATTTAAACTAAGTTTCTTTTACGAATATGTGCAACTATGATAAATAATTTAAACTTATTTTTGAATGTAATAAAGAATTAATAAATCAGAACTACTATTAAGTTAAGATATGTTATATATGTAAGACTATGATATAAATTAATATTTACTAATTTATTTTTTATATCTATCAAGGTACGCATAATCACTTCTTTTATTTAAAATCATGTTTTTAATGGAATATTTTTTGAATTTGATCCACGTTTTGAAATAATGATACAGAAACACACATCCGTTTTATGTCTAATGTTACATAGTAGGCACTGTTATTCATTTCAACATAATTTCATCATAAAGAGCAAAAAAAAATAGTGTATATGTTATTATGATAGATGAGAGTCTGTTGAAGAAAAATATTCCGCACTAACACTCAAATAGTATCCGTCTTTTTCTCTCAAAGAAAAATTTTCATCAGCCAGCTCTCGGCATTTATCAAGACGACGGCGCATAAGTTGTTATTAATTTGCTGCCATGGCGATTTTTCTTTCTGCGGCAAAAAATTATTTGTAATTGCTTTTTTTCATATAACATATTTCTTTTCATTGATTTCGGTTTAATAGGAAGGACATAGTGAATTGATTGAAAATAATACTCTACCTTGGTGGATATTATTTCTTATTATAATGTTTCGACAACGATGTTGCCTTCATCAGACAATGAAAAACATGATAGAATGACTAGCACGCGTGTACATTTTCAGCGTATCCCTTCTCGCATGTTTTTCTTCTCTTATTCTTTCTTTTCTTTTTTAATAGTGCAACAGCAAGACAATGATATTGGTAGAAGTAACTAACTGTTTTCTTCTGCCGTCCGACTATTAAAAAAGAAAAAAAAGAACAAAAGAAGAAAAGTATGAGAGAAAGGATACGTGGAGAATATATACGCGTCCTAGTCATTCTATCGTGTTGTTCATTGTCTGATGACAATAAAATTGTTGTCGAAACGTCGCGATAAAAAAATAAAATCCACCATGAAAGAGTATTATTTTGAATCAATTCATATTTTTTTTCATTATGAAATTCTCCTTATGCTGGAAAGGTTTTTGTTTTTACGAGTATTTTTCGAGTGATTCTCTTTTAGTATTTCTTTGGGGAGCATGAAACGATTTTATCCGTTAGTTCTTACCTTTCGATGATCTTCAACTTACATTCTATCCTGAGTATTTTCTTCTCGTTTTCTTTTTCTCCACCTAACATTTCTTTAAAAAAATCATAGACAATCGATTTCTTTACGACTGAACGCGCTCATCTACATTCTCAGCTCTTCATCAATATTTTTCCACACTCCATTTTTACCTTTGGCAGAATCTCAGGTCTATCTACTTTGAGGCTCATAATGCGAATCATCTATCTGTTAGGCTGACATACCGCATGGATATTGTTTATGCTCTTCATGGTGTATTTAATAACGTTCCGTAAGTACACAATGAGGATTAACCGTGGCCAATCACTGTCACAATTACTGCGCTTGTTCTCGTTTACGATCAACAATAACTCGAATCTATATCGACGTCTTTGTACCTGTTTTCTATCATATTAATTGAAAGTTTTTTTTTGTATAGTAGTAGTTAGAAAACGGTTCTTGTTAGACATGAACCTTCCTTTCATTATAAATGCAATAGAAGATGACGAATCTGGAGGAAGATTTGAATTGATGCAATATCTTAATTATTTTGCTTTTTAGATACAAGCGGTTAATCTGAACACATCTTGGTGAAAACACAACAATAACTGATACTTATGTCGGAAAATCGTTTTGTAAACAATACTATCTTAGAGCTCCAAGAAGCCAATCGCAATCCAATATGTGGTTATGAAGATTCACCCGTTCTGACATTAAAAGAAGCTGTAGAAAAACTAATTCCACTCGTCCCCGATGTCTTAGCTTATGTTATGACAGCTAACAAGAAATATTATCGACATTCAGATTTATTAATGCGGGATGAATCGGCGGCAATATACCTGTATTCGATGCCATCATCTTTCTTTTCTTCTCTTAACAACGCACTTCGAGCTGAAAATCGACATGCACTTAAACCATGGTTTGCCTACTTAAAATTGTTTATGACAGCTCTCAAGAAATTACCATCAATTAAGGCGGTTGTTTGGAGAGGTGTTTACGGTGATGTCAGTTCAGTATTTGCTAACAATAATATCGACATTTGGTGGAGTGTAAATTCAACTTCGATGGATCTTAGAAGTGTTCAACCATATCTAGACGAACACGGCACTCTGTTCGCTATTGAGGTTATGTATGGTAAAGATATCTCCCAATTCTCAGCAGTTCTAGATGAGAAAGAAGTTATTCTAATGCCTGGAACTTATGTACGAGCCAGAACTGAACCACTTAATTTCATTGATCGTCTCTTCATTGTTCACTTGGACGAAGTAACTCCTCAAAGGTTAGTCTATTTGAAAAGATAAATGAATTGTATCATATTCATTCACCAATGAGAATATATTTAATGTGATCATTCAACAAAAATTCTCTACTATATAAGTACAACGATCTACAATGCGGTTCACACTGTCTCATCGTTTATTTTGTTCGATAAATAATTTAATATCGAAACTTAAATATTGATAAGATGTACCTATCATAGAAAAATAAATCTCATCATCATACATGAGATATTAGTTTCTCTTTTATAAATCCGCTAGTAAATTGCTTGAGCTAATCGAAAATATATTAAATGAATTTATGTTCAATAACTGTTCATGATATATTCATTATTTTCTAAATATTCTATATGTTTTTAATAGTGAATCACAATCTGAATCAAACCATTTATTTCAATGGATAAAACAAGAATATAAACGAAATGGTTATATTGAACGTCTGATGAATCCAGCAAAATTTTATTCAATTGAAGAGAGTTACATTAATTTAGCCATCGTCGAAACTAAACAACAACAACAAAAAGAAAAACAACTTCGTGATGCTCTCAATAATGATGCTATTATAGGAAGTTTTGAAGAGATTTATGGAACAAAAACTACAATCGATATCAAAAATATTTTTGAAACATGTAAAAATCAAGAGAAAAAAGTGCTGGTGTTCGGACGTGCTGGAATCGGAAAATCTACATTTTGTCGATATATTGCTTATCAATGGGCGATGGGTTCATATTGGACACAGTATGAATTATTGGCTTTGATTCCATTACGTCGCTTAACAACTAATCGATATCCTCAATTACCAATTGGTCAAAACTATTCTCTGATTGATCTTGTGAAAAAAGAGGTGTTATCATATGATCTATCCGAAAGTGAAGACAAACTTCTGAAAAAACACTTTGATGCAAAAAAAACTCTATGGATTTTGGATGGTTATGATGAAATTGTTCAAAATGTACCTTCACATTTGGAATGTTTATTCGAACAATTACTTAAAACTCCACATCATATTTTGACATCTCGTCCGTATCAAAATATATTAGCTTATCATGTACAAATGGAAATTACAGGTTTCACAGATGAAAATATTGAGCGATATGTGCAGAAATTCTTTGATCAAATGAAAGATGAACTCGACAATTCTTTGAACAAAGGCCAAAACTTATTCGGATTTTTACAGACAAATCGATCTATCTGGGGTGTTGCACATATTCCAGTGAATCTAGAGTTGATATGTAGTATTTGGAGTAATGAAGATTTTATAAAAACAAATGAATTAACAATAACATCATTGTATTCAGTTATGACTGAGTGGTTATGTCGACGATATTTAGCAATGCCAAACAAAAAAATTCAAAATTTATCTAAAGACGACGTCGGTCAACGCTGTGAAAAAGAATTATCATTCTTAGAAAATCTTGCCTATAATGGAATGAAGAGTAACACTATAATTCTACGACCAAATCTACTGAGAAAGGCATTAAATGAAGAAAAAGTCTCTTTACATGACCATCCACATATTCTCAATATGGGAGTTCTAAAAAGTTTTAACAAACAAGGTATCAATACTCAAATTGAAACGGAAAAAGATTATTATTTTGTGCACCTCAGCTTTCAGGAATATTTTGCAGCACGATATTTGATTAAGGCTCTCAAAGATCCTTCAACTCATCAAGAAGAAATCAAGTTTACTCAACGAGAAAAATATAATCAACGTTATGCATTAGTGTTTATATTTCTAACCGGTCTTTCTAATGAGGCTGATTCAAACACATGTTTAAACATGTTTTGGGGACTTATATTAACACCACCGATCGATCTCTTTGGGATAAGACATATGCAACTTGTTATTTCTTGCATGGAAGAAACATCAAGCCAATCAATTATTCCACAACACACTTTACTCCTAGAATGGCTAGCAAAATGCATTAAACATAGTTTGTTCATAGAAAATCAAACTATTCGTGAGCGTCTTGCAGAATCGTTGCGAAGAGCACCATCGGTAATAACCAATCAAAGAATTATAAATGCATTTATCCATCTACTACAAAATGATAATCCATATATCAGAATCGCAGTACTCTCATTCATTTCTGAAATGAGTAGTTCAAATGTAGCGATTGCACTGATTAAATTAGTAGCTACCGCACTAGACGATAAAGACACAATGGTTAGAGACAGTGCATGTAGAGCTCTCGGGAATATGGGTGAAAAAGCAGCGACAAATGAAGTGATCACTAAACTGGTTAGTGCATTAGAAGATGAGTGCTCCGATGTCAGAGAGAGTGCAGGTTACGCTCTCGGGAATATGGGTGAAAAAGCAGGGACGAATGAAGTGATTACTAAACTAATTAACACATTAGCAGATGGCAGCGTCAGAGACAGTGCATGCCAGGCTCTCGGGAATATAGGTAAAATAGCAGCGACGAATGGAGTGATCACTAAACTCGTTAGTGCATTAGAAGATAAGAGTGAACGAGTTAGGTGGAATGCATGCCAAGCTCTCGGAAAAATTGGTGAAAAAGCAGCAACGAATGAAGTGATCACTAAACTGGTTAACGCATTAGAAGATGAGATTGCCTTTGTCAGAAGAAGTGCATGCCAAGCTCTCGTGAATATGGGCGAAAAAGCAGCGACGGATGAAATGATCACTAAACTGGTTACTGCATTAGAAGATGAGAATTCCAATGTCAGAGACGGTGCATGCGACGCTCTCGGGAATATAGGTGAAAAAGCAACAACGAACGAAGTGATCACTAAACTGATTAGTGCATTAAAAGATGAGAATGTCAATGTCAGGTCAAGCGCATCTGGAGCCCTCGGCGCTCTTGGTAAAAAAGAAGTGACGAACGAAGTAATCACTAAGCTAGTTAATGCATTAGAAGAAGAGAGTGAAAGTGTCAGACAAGGTGCATGCCAAGCTCTTGGAAAAATGGGTGAAAAAGCAGCGACAAATGAAGTGATCTCTAAAATGATTATTGCATCAGAAGATAAGAGTGAATCGGTCAGGTCAAGTGCATACCAAGCTCTCGGAAAAATGGGCGAAAAAGCAGCTACGAATGAAGTGATTATCACTAAACTGATCAATGCATTAGAATATGAGAGTGTCTATCTCAGGCCAAGTACATCTAGAGCTCTCGGCACTTTAGGTAGAAAAGAATCGACGAATAAAGCAATCACTACTATGATTAATATATTAGAAAGTGAGAGTCGTCGTGTCAGACCAAACGCATCTGGAGCCCTTGATACTCTAGATAGAAGAGAAGTGACGAATGACGTGATCATTAAACTTTTTAATATGTCAGAAGGTGAGGGTGAGAGTGGCAGTGTCAGAGACAGTGCATGCAAAGCTCTCGGGAATATAGGTAAAATAGCAGCGACGAAAGAAGTAATCACTAAATTGGTTAGCGCATTAGAAGATAAGAGTGAACGAGTTAGATGGAATGCATGCCAAGCTCTCGGAAAAATTGGTGAAAAAGCAGGGACGAATGAAGCGATCACTAAACTGGTTAACGCATTAGAAGATGAGATTGCCTTTGTCAGAAGAAGTGCATGCCAAGCTCTTGAGAATATGGGTGAAAAAGCAGCGACGAATGAAGTGATCACTAAGCTTTTGAATAGACGTAATAGTGACGGTCGATTATCTACAGAAGCTGCAAATGCTATAGATGGTATTTTTTATTTGTCAACCGTAATGATTGGTTTTGGTCCAATGTTAATTTCTAAACTTTGCGTGTATGGAAGACCATTAAGGTGCTTGAAAAATATTCCACTCGATGAATTACTTACAAAATTTTTCGATACTCAAGATGCTGATTGGTTGTTGACGGCGATTGAGATAACATTCAAGAAAGGTGCTGCTGTGTCTATCAATGAAGATAAATTGATGGTGTATGATAATGGAGAACCAACAGAACTACGTGCTCCAAACTTAAAATTACATAACGAACTCATTGAAGCTTTTACTAATAAGGCAAAAGCACTGCATTTATCTCTTGGAATATAGTCAAATCTATGCAATTAGTATTAATTATATTCCTGCTCTTGGAATATCATATATTTTTTCTTCTAAATTATTAATTAATAATATACATTTTCTTTTCATACTGAGTTATGTTAACACATTAATCGAATACGTTTTTCTTCGCTTATTGAATTTTATTTCTTAGTCTATTTGTTTTTTACAATTAGTCAATAAAGTGTAGAAAAAATGCAAGTTTTTTTGTTTTCAGTGTTACAAAATAGTCACTGGTTGTAAACCACTTTGCAGAAATCATTTGATGAACAAATATGTGAGGCTGTTGGTGCGGTTGTACCTGATAGCTAGAACCATGTCTCATCCACTCACAAGCACACCCACTCACTCACACCCTCAACAAACTAGTTTATCAGAGAAAGAAGACTTGTGTAATCACAGCATTGTTATTGAGAGAATGAGTTAAAGCTTTCATCACACATTTCATGGCTCTTTATAATCATTATACGTGTTTACCGAGAAAAAGAAAAAGAAAAAGCATTTTTCGACTCGCAACCGCATGGATGAATGCGACATTACAGTTTATCGCTTGTTCTGTTCTTTTTCTTATATACACATATAAATGATTCATGAATTGCATCATAGCAGGCTAGTAGCTGCGCAATACATCTTTTTGCCATATAATAATACACTTACACATGGATACATCGTTCTTACTTACCGATACACAAGTGCAAGACTTTTTAATCAATGGTTATTTAGTTCTTCAGCCTATCTCTCTTGATGAAAATTATCATTCATCAATATTCACTGAAGCATTGTCGATTTTTACGAAGGAGGGTAATCCAGGAAACAATATTCTTCCACGGATTCCTCAACTTCAATCTGTATTCGATGATCCCATAGTCATTGGTGCATTAGAAAGTTTATTAGGTTCAAATTATACGATGCAACCAAATCGATATGCTCATTTATCAAAGCCCGCCTGTAAAGGTGAACAATGGCATAAAGATAGTTATTATGGTTATAAAAAGCTACTTCATCATCATCAATTACGTTATATTATGGCTATGTATTATCCTCAAAATACAACTATAGAAATGGGTTTAACTGCTATTAAACCTCGATCACAATACGATGTCATGGATCTAAAAATAAATAGAAATAATGATATGGAGAATGATGTTTGTATGACTTATACAGCTGGCACAGTTGTGTTAATCCATTATGATATTGTACATAGAAGAACAGTCAATCGAACAAAAGATACATATTGTTTTATGTTTAAATTTCAGTTTAATAGACTTGAAGAGCCAACTAAACCAACATGGAATCATAATTCAATGAACACTGTTTACGATGCTGGTTTATTACAGCCGATTGTCAAACATATTTGGAATTGGATGATGGGTGGTGTTGACATACGACAGCAACTCTTTATTGATCAAAATATTCTCGAATGGGAAAGACAATTAAATGATACCGATGGAAAACTTCGTCTTAATGCAGCATATAATCTAGCTTTAAGTAATCAATATAAGATTTTAATCAACCATTTGTATAAAATCAAAGAAACCTCTCACTTGGAAGTGGTTTATGCGTTAACAGCCTGTCGATACAACAAAGACGCGATTAGTGAATTGCAAACAATACTAAAAACAGAAGAAAAAAATGAGTATTTAGCATCTTGTATAGCATTCATTTTCTCTGAAATGGGATCTATGGCACTTGAAACATTACCATTATTGATACATGTGATGGAAACGAGTGATTCATGGTTAGTTAAACAATACTGCTGTGAAGCATTGGGAACTATTCAGTCAAATGATCAACATGATATTGATATGACAATACGATCTTTGACACATATCCTTGCCAATCGGAATCAACAGCTGGATTCAAAAGAAGCATCTCATACTAGATTTACTGCAGCATTGTCCCTAGCTAAAATGGGTGATAAAGCAGTCGGAGCAATACCTGTATTAAAAGATGCACTTTATTTCGATCCGAATCGTTATGTTAATGGTAATGCATTATTAGCTTTAGAACGAATTGGAACAAGTGAAGCATTAAAAATCGTCTGGAACTATCTTGAAACATCACGATGGTGCGCTAAAACAAGCCCCGCTAGCTTATTCTAAAAATATAGATTTCAATTTTTAGCCAACTCATCGAAAGGCATTGTTGTTTCTCTGATTTTTGACAAGCATATACACATACAAACTTATTATATTTCACATGATCTTTCCTTTAATTGGAAAGAATAAAAATATGTTTCTAATTGTTTTAAAAACGATTCATTGGGTCTGATTACATTACGTTTTGATTTAACATAATTAAAGGCATCAGCTACACTACATAAGTTAACATCAGAAGTTAATAGATAAGCTATTATTATACTAGCTGATCGACTAACACCTTGATCACAATGAACTAATATAATTCCTTTATCATCATTAATACTCTTCAATATCCATTTAACAGCAAGAGGAAATATATCCAATAAATTCGATGATAAACTATCAGATATTTGCCAATGTATAGTTTTAATATTGTCCATTTCGATTTTTCGTGGTTGATAATCACTAAAACTCATAATATGCGTAATTTTTAATAAAGATATTATTGTTTCATTTCGACACATTGACGAACCAAGATATAAATTCGATGTTATATAAGTTGGCCATACTAATAGAATAGATTCATTATAATAAATACTATCACTACATAAATATGGATAATTTAATTGAAAATTTTCATATCCATCAATTAATATATGGATTTTTTTCAATGATTTTGAAGATGATTTTAAATAACATAATAAAGTATCTAATACATTCGATTCTATTAGATCAATATTTTTACTTCTGTATATAAGAACATCGGATGGATGTTCACTTTTACCATAATCATTATTAATCTCTTCATCTATATTTAATATAGAACCAATTGAAATTATTGGCAATGGATGCATATTATGAGCGCGACAGATATGACCTTTAATATAACCTTCTGCACATCTAATATCATATATTCGATGATCCCAATATAATTTATTGTAAAAATCTTCTTTTGATATATCATTTATACATATATCTCGTGGCAATATTGATGTTTCTAACATTTTATTCGAACAAAAACTGATTAATACTCAAGAAAAATTACGTAAATAGAATGACTCAATTATAAGTATAACATGGAAAATATAATAATGACAAAAATGGAGGACATTGCGTGTCAATGACATCTATTCAATTATACCAAATTATTTTTTTTTATATTTATTAATTTATTAGTTACACAAAAGAAATAATCAGAGTCAATTTAAGTTTGTTATAAATAGAAATTCAATCAAAAAATTGTTGATAATATTAAAAAAGCAGCAAAGAAATAAATCGAATTAATCTTATTATTAAAAATCATTGATTTTCCCATCGATTTTGCTGAAATACAACAGTTTTCATCAGGAATTTTTGATTGAATTTCATCACGAAAAGTTCTATAAACTTGTCTATAATATAATGGTTGTGGACCACGAAAACTTTCAAAAAATAATTCATGACGAAATGAATTAAATTCATAGTCTAATAATACAATAGGTTCTTTAAAAATAGTCCAAATAACATTTTCCGTACAAGGTGGTGTTGTTAATGATCCTGCATATCTCCAATATTCATTTCGGTTATTTCCCATTAAAGAATTTAATGATAAATCAATGCTTGCTGAATCATTTTCATGTGTTAATTTTTGTGCAACATCAAAAAATTTCTTCCATTCACTTTCACTTTTAGTATCATAAAAATCATTTTTATTATTTGATCGGAAGCTTTTAGTCAGCCGAGTTTCCATAAGAAAACTTAAAACAGCTCTTTCATTAGTTAGTGCATTCCGATAAACAAAATGACTTTCACCAGCAGATTTAAGTCCATTCCTAAATGTTGAAATGAATAGAATTTTTTGACAAAAATAAGATTTTAAACTTACATTTGATGTTCACTTCCTACATTATGATTTGGTCCCCAATGTAAATGAAAACTATCAAAATAAAATGTTCCAGTTAAATTTCCTCCTTGAAGAGCTAAATTTTTATTATTTGTTTCTGACGATATAGTATGTCCATTATATTTTGCGATAAAATTATTTTCTGTAACATGATCAGGTGTTAAAATAAATTGATCTAAAGGTTGATAGATTGTGCATGCTGTTTTTATATTTATTGGCGATTGACGTTCTCCACCGCATGTTGGGTAGTGTTCACTCCAAACATCAGGTCCATGCTCTAAATAATCCCAATCACTAGCCAAACATTTATTAATTAATATTAGAATAAATATAGTTTTGAAATGAACGGACATTTTTTTCTATGAAATAATAAATCTAAATCATTAATAGGAAATAAATATTAGAAAAATAACACCTTTTCTCTTATTATAAATCTTTTGAAATTAAAAAAAAGCAGATTCAATGTCAATAGTATCAGCTAAATCGAGATCTTACGTAACATCAATATTTACAACAATATCTTGAAATTATAGGAATTACCTAGGGTAATACAAAAGTTTTTTCGTCTGGCTCTTCTAAAAGTCCTAATTCGAGTTCAAGTATTCTGTTATAATACTTAGATATATTTAGAAACATATGCAAAAACTTCAGACTTCCAAGTACATTACGGGGAATTTATGATAAATAATAGAAGTTTGCACTTCAGTTTTCATTTTCAAAATAAAACTGTTGTTTGAAAATTGTAGATCTAATTATAGTGCATATTGCGATGTATTTTGTTTCTCATTAAATAAAAGATCTCAGGTGATGAATAAGAAAAGAACGCTTTCGTCACGTACGATAAACATTACTTTTTTGCGACGTTGAAATTTGATCATTTAGAATTTTGTTGATTTTCAAAATAAATAAATACAATTTCTGCTTAATAGAAGATATCAAGTAGAGCAAAGATGAAATAAGAAACCAACGAACTCTTAGAAATGTTTTTTTTTCGAGGCTCTGAAATTTGATTACTCAGAAAATGCATCTATGAAACTGATTGTCCGCTGTAAATGTTTGTGAGTTTTTAAAAGAACTCTAGCGAAAAAACTTCTGTAGTACTACATATGAAAACGCAATGATTTTCTTTCAAGTAGAATGTTCTATGGTTTGTGCCGGTATCACTTAAGAAAAAAATTTTTGTTAAATAAAACTTAATTTCTAGTTTGAAATTACTGTGAGATATTTTTAAAGATGAATGTAATGTGAACTTACGGCAGCAATTGCTGTTTGCCTACAGTTTAACAAAGACGAAAAAGAAGTTTATTCTCATTTACTTTTTTTTTTCATTTTTTGTCCTAACAGTGATAAGCAGCACACCTTCATTTTTCGCTTCAAGTCTCTTCATATCTATGATAAACATATCACCTCACACTTCAAAAATGTCTAGTAATAACATTTCTTTTTTATTTGGAAAGAGTTTTATTATTAATTGTCTATTTCATTTCTTGCCAAAAACCAATTTTAGTATAGATATAACTTGAAATGAAAAAAAGTTTGAGAATATTATCAATAATTAAATTTATAAATAATTTAACAAAATAAAATAAAATTTCGATACGGACATTTATCAAGAAAGTAACTCTTCATCTTCTACTTATTGTAAAACTTCGTTTGAAAATCGTTTTCTGTTGAAACAGAATGAAAGTATCATATCTTGATCCTTCACAAGAATAGAATAAAACTTAATGAGAGCTGGTTTGAACATTGACTTGACTTGCCCATCTCTAGCAGATACCTTTTGTTTGTCGATCATCCGTACGATTTTGATTTTTTTTCACATTTTGAAATAATTGAAACCAAAAGAAAAGCATTGATAAGAACATCATTCTATAGAATTGGCCATTCTATAATGTTTCATTTGCGTTTATAAGTGGAGTTCGTATCGAATACTTATTTTATTACGAACATTACTGTCTGTCATAAACAGTAAAAAAGATTACATCTTTTTGTTCTTATTATACAATGAATACCTACACTTTATAATTGTATGCTCTACAATGCTCGATGTAGGTATATTCGAAAAAAATGAATGCTAAACGTCGTTGATTAAGTTACAGATATGATTGTTTAGATCATTCTGCTAGTTGTGTTGAAAATACATTCATGTTGTACGAAATACAATTATTTTTTAAACATCTTTGATAAAAATACTGCTAATTTATCAAACGCTCTAAAGTAATTCTTAATGAAAATCAAACTGAAACTCTCTTTCACGTACAATCAAATATTTTCTGTAAACTACCCAGCAATGAGTAACAATAATCTGTAGACATTTGAGATAGAGTCCTGCAAACCGGACGGGTACCCGGCCCTGGGTACCGGGTAAAATTCGCCGGGTCGGTTCGGGTCCCGGGTAGGAGTGTATACCCGGACCGAATCGATAACTAGTGACATCACCAAATTTCTAACATTTTATTCTGATACTATTACTAATATGAAAAAAGAAGTCACAAGAAATCTAATAATGATTAAACGATCCGTTAGTCATCGCAATATTTCATAAAGAAAAATTTAGTTTCTTTGAATAGCTTTTTTTATGTTTCGGATAAAAAGCTTTTGAGGGTGTGGGTGTGGGCATGTGCGTGTGTGTGTGGATGTGAGATAAGAGCAAGATCCACATATTCAGCTAACTCCTGATTCACTTGTTTTTTTACGTAGTTTTACATAATATATATTTTTCTTTGTTACTTATGAATAGGGGTAAGACAGTTCCAAACTAGTTAAGTTCTTAGGAACTGTATAATAGTTCTTTTGACCAGTTCATCTGAACTTGGAACTATGAACTGTCCTACCCCTACTTATGAACGAAACTAAACGTATTATATTTATTGAATTAAATAAAAGTTTAGAAATTTGATCATATTTCGGAAAATGACTGAGTAGACCGGTTCGGTCCGGTTCGGGTTGGGTCTAGCTAATTCGGTCCGGTTCGGATCCGGGTGCATTACTAATCGGGTGGGATCCGGGCGTAAAAAAAATTGCCGATTCGGTTTCGAGTACAAAAAAGTGCACCCGTGCAGGACTCTAAAGAAGAGCAAGGTTTTCAATTGTTTTTCCAGTAAATGTAAAGGGGATGCATTTCTACGAGAAAGAGCTAAGCTAGTCCATAGACGAGCGTTACTTGTATATCAAGCTTTATTAACTAACTTTTTTTCCAATGATAGATATAGGTGTCAAACTTTTATTGATATGGGAAAACTTGACAGATACTGTTGACAGTTATTATTTTCAACTGAAATATAGAAATCAGCTCTTTTTTTCTTATTGCCAAAAGAGTGTCACATAACATCTCTTTGTTATCGCTTTAAGTTCTACACTTTTTGTGACGGTTAGACCAGGCGGCTCTTGTGATATCGTATCTCTGCTTATTTCGATATCTCACTCAAAACAGAAGTTGAATTTTGTCAAATTCGATGTCCAGGAAGGTTATGTAATCGCTGATGATCTAGATGAAGTGAAGCGATCATATAAGCTCTACAATTGATATTATTAGACTTCTTTTTTGAGTGAGATATTGAAATAAACGGTGAAACGATAGCGTAAGAGCCGCCTGGTCTAACCGTTACAAAAAGTGTAGAACTTAAAGCGATAACAAAGAGATGTTATGTGACACTCTTTTGGCAATAAGAAAAAAGAGCTGATTTCTATATTTCAGTTGAAAATAATAACTGTCAACAGTATCTGTCAAGTTTTCCCATATCAATAAAAGTTTGACACCTATATCTATCATTGGAAAAAAGTTAGTTAATAGAACTTGATAAATAATAGAGCTAAAACAATTGACTTTTCTCACGGGCTTTTGAGGCACCCTTTATATCTATTAACTTCTTTTAGTTTGAAATCAATCTGATCCTTTTCGATAGAAATTATTAGTACTTTAGAAATCGAGAGTTTTTTAAATCTGATAAAGGCTAAGTAATATATAAGACGTTAACTAGTACACTATGAATATCTTTAGTTTTTACTTCAAAATATTTCTTTATTTAATATGTAGCACAATGAATATTCAACCAAATGAACAACCAGCAGTTGCTAATAATGATACTTCAATCTGTTTTAATGATGAACAACCAAATGTAAGTGTCGATTAGTTCCTTATTATATAAATATTTTGATTAATATCTTGAATGAATCAAAGATCAGTTTATTTTACTTTATTTTAAATGTCAAAAGTTTAGATTTTCTATGATAATGGGCTAAAAAATATCTCATTTTCGAAAAAAATACAGTTTTATCTACAATATCGTACTTGTACAGAAAATATTAGGAGCTATGAAAAACAATTCGTCTAAAATAATTCTTTTCAAAAATGATCTATTACAGAATTCATTGTCACCAAATATTGAATCAAGACTTAGTTCAACAGTGAATTATTCTCAAGATTCGCAGTCAATAAATGAATTAGTTGATTTGCATAAGAAACGTGTACGCAAGCTAATGATGAAGGGCTATATCTCTTGTGGAATATTGTTATTCATTGGTTTAGTATTATTAATTATAGGCTTTGTTCTACCAAGATGTAGGACTTATTCTCCTGGCTGCTCATCACCATATTTCGAATGTCTCGTTTGCGGTGGAACTCTAATGTTTTTGGGCATTTCTTTTGTGTTGGTGCTTCTCTGTTTTAACTACTGTTGTGTAAAAAAACGATTTAAGGATGTAAATTTTAGCGTTAATGGACAGCAACCAGTTGTATGGCGACTGGATGGCGAACAATGGGTACGATATTTGAATTATATACATGGTCCAAATCGAATATGGACAGAAAAGAGTCAAGTGACATCTTTCTATTGTCGACGTTCAACCTATGAACGATTGATGAATCGTCAATATGGTCATATTATTTTACATGAAAATGGTTTAATAATTGATGAATTATATTTTGTTTCATTTCGACAATATAAATTACGAAGTGTACAAGTACTCTATATCGATCAACATCCACAAATAAGAGGTTTAAGAATACATACTTATCTTGTAAGAGGAGACGCTAGTCGCAAATGCTATTTTGATTTATTTGCACCATCATCAGTTTCATTGGAACAAATACTAATAATCGCTGTACCATACATTATTAAAATATCTGGAGTAAGTGCACTCGATTCACCTTTGGAAGTAGTCCATCTTCCTGGATCAATATTGTCTACACATAGCTAATAATTATCTAAATTAATCAATTTCATATTTTTTTCATACGTAAATGAATATTGATTTATTTTACAAAATCCATTCGATTGATTGTGTTTGCAAATTTCTCTTATTTATAAGCTTTTTTTATGTTGTAATAAAATACAAAAATTATGAAGAATGATAGTATTAATTTAGATAGAATATATATAATTGTAGTATCGAATTTTTTGTATTTGTGAAACTGATCAAGCTGACAATGTTCATATAAATAACAGAGTAACACGAGTAAAAAAAGCAAGAAATATAACAGACATTAATATTTGAGTATAAATAGAGCCATTCATAGGCAGCGGAACGATTTCACTTTCAGGTAGGCTCAACTTTACAAACAAATTACTTCAGATAGCAGATAAGACTCAGATATTCTTCACCGTTAATCATTTGGTCATTCTTGCTGACTTTAATTGTTTTTGAAATGTAATGATTGTATGATAGTTTATTATTTAGAATGAAATCATGAACTATTCATGTCAATTGAAGGTATTTCAACTTTGATTTTTTGAGATAAAATCAAAACAGATGCATTTTAAATCAAGTAGAACTAATTTTTCTTTATGACTTTGTTTAATCGTTATTGCACGTAAAACAGTGATGATATTTAAGTTTCTAAAATTCAGAACTCATTTTAAACAGAATTCGACAACAAACATCATGAGGGTGTGGGTATACAAAGATACAGGCGTCCACATTCTCATGATTTACAATCACAGCAATTGATGCGAATCCTGTTATTTTTAATGCAAGATCTGCTTGGCAAAAACATGAATGAGATATTTGATTGATTATTATATGATCTTACTTCAATAACTGAACTCTTCTTTCTCTGATCGCTATCATGTACGCAGTGCTTGTAACACATGTATCTATATGTAACGTCTATAAAAGTACATTCGCATCGCCCCTTTATCCCGATAGACAAATTGTTAATTTATTTAACTTAACAAACTAAATTATTTATCGCCTTCTAGTACGGTGAACGGGAGCCATAACAATAAAATATTGAATACTCTAGAAAAAAGGACGTCTGCAGAACCTTTTTACATTCTGTCGACGTCCTTTTTTTTTAGAGAGTATCTCATCCTTGTATAATATTATCGTTGTGCGGTATAAAAATCGTCATTGAAAGAATACCGCTCTTGTTTTGTATTATAATATCTTTCTCATCTCCTTGTGGTGTGACCTCGATCGTTTTATGTGCATATTCGTATTCATATTCTATTCTATTCTCGTTTCATGCGTAACGAGTGATTTTTTTCCGGTAAAGTCTTTCCCTCGTTATATTGGCTGGAGAGATTTTCGTGGTATATCGCTATTGAGTGTTTTTGGTATCACTCTTTCTAGTGACTCTCGCTTGTTGTCGCTGGTTCTATATCATAGGGCACAACTTTCAAGAGCTACCGGAAGAACTAATCTTGTTTGCTATTGTATTTTCTTTCTTTTATTATTCAATAAACGATTTATGTTTATCATTGATACATTATTTAATAATTTCGTTATACAAAGCCACATACAAAAACAATCTTAATGTTTTGTTAGCCAAATAAATGTGTCTTTTTTGTTTATTTTTCGAAAGAAGATCCACTTTTTATCATACTTCTAAGATAAGCTATACATAAAGAAAGAGATCAGAAAACATTTAGAATTTAATATGCTGTTTTTCAGACTGTTGAAATTTTTGCTACTGATCCACTTCATATTGATATAATTTTCAGTTCTTTATTAAAAAGATGGTGGAATAGAGAACGGAAAGAAGAAAAGAAACAGAACGAGGGCGAGGATGAGTAGAGGTGTCGTGCTCGGTGGATGTAGTGTGGGTGTTGCTAAGTGAATGATGTATTCACAACCACATTCCTCATAAGTTTGATCTTTAGGACAAAAATGAAGTCATCATTCTTTATTTAACTATTTTGAGTTTATTCAATGTAATAAATTGAGGTTATAGTAATCAGTGGATGGATGTGAGTATACTGTTAGCATTGAAACAATATTTACACCTACTGAAAAAGTGAATGAGACATCAGTATAAAATAATTTTACGGAAAATTGAACTACAATCGAATGAAAATGCAACTAATAAGATATACTCATAGATTGAGTGAAGTTCAAGAATTCGCTTAATCGAGTTAGATTTTGTTGTATGAAATATACTAGATATCGCCTTAGATTGCTTCTAGCTCTGCCTGTTCGTAGTTAGGTAACAGACTTCGCTTCGGATGCAATAGTGTCCAGGTCAATTGTGCAATAATAATAGGCGCTAATTGAAATATATAAGACCAAAATTCTTGTTCACGTGTAGGAAGGTAATAATCGGGAACAGAAATGAAGGTATGAAAAACGGCAACAACTAATGAAGAGAAACTTGCGATACCTAATAGTACGATCGCTTTTATTCCTATATCTTTCGATGTTCTTGTTAGAAACCAGAGTAAATAGAAAAGTTCAGTTAAGCATAAAACAATCGATGCGGAAATTTGTCGAAGTAAAAAACTTGTTTTAATCATCTTTGTTTTGTGGGAGAGTTGTTCAGCTGTAGATAATAGAGCAGCAGATACGATGACGCACACTATTGTTAGAATACGAATTATTCGAGCGAAAGATGGTTGAATGGCACGGGCTTGAAGTAGAAAATCATAATTTGCTACAATAATTAGCCGTTGTCCAATGGCTAGAAGAGCAGTTCCAGCTGTGTATCGAGCACGAGATTTTTGCATACCGGTAGAGAATATTACACGAAGTACAAGTTCAGCAAAGATGGTTAAATGAGAAATAAGAAGTAGAATACTGATACGACGTGGAATAAATCGTGATTGAATACATTGAATAATCCAGACAATCAATGAAAGACCGACAAGAAAAGCAAAGATACAAGCAGCTGGTTGGTTTGGTTCGTACGCTGAAAAGGGATAATTAGTAAAATTAACCATACTGTTTAGTTGAATCGTATTTGCAGTTGATTACAATCTAATCTCGTCTATTTGTCACATTCTCTTCTATGGAAGAATAATTCTTGATAAAAATTTCAATTTTTTTGTGAATGTTTGTGGCAGTATTGTTATTAGCTACTAATTTTTTCTCCGTTCTGTTGAAAATGTAATGCCACACCAACAACACATACAAAATACTTCTTTCTTTCTGTCAAATTCAAGGACAAACTATGAATAACAAAGAAAGAAAAAAAGAAAATACCACCATCTTGCAGAATGAGACAAAATATAGAATACGTTTGATTGAGAGACGACGGCTATATCGTGCCATCTAGATTATTCTCTTATGCTGTTCTGATGCATTTTTTAACAGAAAAGAAGGAAAAATAATGCCGTGGATGTTTTGTTGATTTGGCATAAGACTAAATATTATATGTTAGTAATCGTGTTATTCATGCTGCCTTTTCTTTTTCTTTTTCATACTTGAAAGAATGCTATCTGTGACACCATTCTTTCTACTCTCTTCTTCTTTTCGTTTATATGATGGAAAAGAGATTGATTAATCCCAAATGAGAGCTCACATTATAATTTGTGTTAATTCTGTTTAAGTAACTTGAAATTCAAGATTAATAAATATTCTTTCTTGATATTTCTCTTGTATACATAAATGAAATGGCACATGTTAACATGTTGTTTCTGCACTATTGTATTTGCGTCTATAGGTTACGTTTGCTTTGCATAATGCAGTACCTTCAAATACGAGTGGACTTCGATTAAACCATTTTCAATTGAAATACACTTTTTATGAATTTTAATGATTATAAATCATTGGACGTTCCTATCATAATCGACCAATTATTTGTATCATATTGAAAATTTGAAAGAAAAGAAGAAACACTTGTTGAAAATCTATCTAAATCGGTGACAAGAATATAATCAGCTGTTAAAAGATATCCTTTATCTATTAGTATATTGTAACAATAAACAGGTCGATCCGTATGATCTGGATACGTTCTTTATAATATAACATATGTATAGTATAGTTTTCTCTTTTGAAATACTTATAAGAAGAAGAATACGAGATAATGAGTAGAAAAGATCGGCGATCAGTTCAATATGACTTCGATAGTCGCTGAGACAGATTCGATTCAGGATACTCACGTCCGAAAAAGAAACGATTGCCGAATGGTGTATATGAACGACAAATACTTATAGAAGACAAAGTCACATGAATTACTGTTCTAGCTATTTTCAATAATGTGCTATTACTTGAATATTTCTTGACGAAAAAGAACGTTTTACAAATATGCTTTGCATTTGATCAAAGATGATTTGTAATAGTAAGCTATATAAGAAAAAACTCAGCAAAAGTTAGAGTAGGAGTGTGAAGAAGAAGATGACCCACACCCACCCTCGAACATAGAAGAAAAGACGATTAAAATGTTTCATATTTCATCCGTCTCCGATCTGTACAACACATACTCCTTATAATGTGTTTATTCTTGTCATACATCACTACTTTCTGTACGATAGTATACTCCATGATCAAAAACTCAACGATCACATTCATGCTTTCACTTAGATCAAAATATCAAAAACTTTCTATTATCAGTAACTGATGCTGATCAATACGATTCAGCATCGCTTTGCTTTGTTGTCTTTCATTCTTTTTCTCTACCATGAATTTGTGATGCATATACAGAGGTATACGTGTAGCTTCTATTTTCTTCCACAATAAAGATACCGAAGGAGGTCCTTCTCTTATGAAAACATCCAAATGTCTCTGAAAAATGTTTTTCCAATGGAAACGATCTGTAAAAGATCACCATGAACTATAAACACTTATGAAAATGAGGAAAATATCACAAATGTTCTTCTGTACTGGATTCTATCACAAGAACGAATTCAGTCGGCATTCCTTTCAATACTAGTAGCTTCTTTAAATAGCCTACCATATCAGTCAACTATAGAAAGAATATGCTTATGGTAGAAGATATCTTTTCTGACATTTAACAGTTTTCATATTTTTACAAACTCATATAGTCCTTCACACCGGCCATGTCTTTTTCTTTCTGCCTCGTATATTTTTTTCCATTTAATCCTCGCTGGATACGTGCTATTTTCTCTTATTATTAACTTTGTCGTTCATTCGTTGTAATCTTTTGTGATATACACAAACACATACCAGTACCGTTAGTCTCTATGTCTAGATGTCTTTTTCATTCTTGTTTCCCTTTCATAATGAGCAAATCACTTCATATGAGAATCGTGTCGAAGATCTTTTGTCTTTTCATAATGAACTTTGTCTCATGCACTTAGTCAAACTTTTTTTTGCAAAATGTGAGTACGATTGTGCGTTATACCAATTCATATTTTTTCAAAGACCAATGTTTTATAGCAAACTGTAATTAAAATGTATAAATTACGATTACAATTTTGTGTCTAACACAGAGGTACATTCTTGCAAAGATAAAAACATGTTTGCATATGATGTATATCTTCTCTGACAATTACATGTGTTTTCGAGCATAACGAGAGAATCAGTACAGTGGAGCAGAGTGAGAAAGATGCTCGAGTGATTTGATTTCGCTCTTGAGCAGTTCCCTTTTTCTTCTGCCACAAGGAATTAATTAAGAAAATTATTATCCATGCCAGAATCACATGTTATCACGATATAAATTTGATATTTGCTTCTATTCTAATGCAGTTATCCGATGACGTCGATGAATATTGCTATAAGCGGTTTGAAACATGTTTTCTGTCGTAATTCAATGATAATGAGCATTTTCTTTCCATATTTGACGAGGCGAAAAATAAAAAACATTACAACGTTCTTCTTTTTCCCGTGCAGTATTTAATGAAGCAATAAATAACATTTGTGTAATTGTGCTTTTTCTCTTTTCCAGACGGCACTTTAGCGCACACACAACATTAAGATATTCTTCGATCATTTATACTTTGTAAATTAATGATGGCTGTCGTTTCTATGAACCAGAGTGTTACTGATGAAACTAGCCAACAACAATCATCAGAGGTTGCTCTCGTATATATCATCTTATCACCACCTGTTCGCTTTTCACTTATTCTTATTTTCGAAATTCCATCTCTTATCTGTTCTTTTATTACTCTCTACTATTTATTGATCGATCGAAACCTACGAAATGCACTACACAATCATGTCATAATTGCCCTTCTCATTCTTACATCTTGCATTCTACTCATTTGCTTTACACCTTACCTTAGTTATATTCGTTTAGGCTATGTTATGCCTCAAATACCTATTGTATGCTATCTATGGTGGTTGTTTGGTTCAGCTGGCTTTAATATGATGGGCATTCTTATGGCATGGGCATCGATCGAACGACATATTCTGGTATTTTCGAGTCACTGGGTGGCTACTAGAAAGAAACGCTTCTTTGTTCATTACGTTCCGTTGGCAAGTATTGTTTTCTATTGTCTTGTTTTCTATGTTACCATTGATTTCTTTCTTCCATGTGAAAACACGGTCTATTACACGAAAGATTGGTGTGGTAATCCTTGTTATTTTTCTATAACAGCGGTTAACATGTACGACACCTTAGTCAACGGCATTTTACCTACTATTATTCTTATCATTTCCAACATTTTCTTGCTCATTCGTGTGGTAAAACAAAAACATCGTCTCCGTCAAAACGTTCAATGGCGTAAATATCGACGAATGCTCATACAACTGTGTTTCTGTTCGGGGCTTTATCTATTTTTCAATCTTCCGTATTGGATGGGAGTTCTCCTTCGTATCTCTGGTATGGCCAATACTACACTGGATCAATACCAATTCGTTGCGTCTTATATGAGTTATCTCATGTGTCTTTGGATGTCATTTGTATGCCTTGCAGTATCACCTGATGTTTTGACAAAAATCAAGCAATGGAAGAGAATACCACGGCATGCTAATGCGATTGTTCCACAACAACCAATCATTGGAAGTTAAAAACAGAGAACTATAATGATGCGAAGATAGTTTTTTCTCTTTTTAATCAAAATAAATGTTGTGTTAAATTGTCTTTTTCAAAATGTATTTCTTTTTGCATTACCCTACTAAATAAATATTGTATTCAACAATCATTGAGTTCTACTAGAACATACCAGGAAAACTATCGATTCGGCAAAATGAGGGTGTGAGTGTGGATTTATTTTTAGATTTTTCTAAAATGACATTCTTGTAATTCATGTTTAAAATTTATTAACAAATACAATTTTAGATTGTTGAAAGTATCAAGAATAGTAGTCATTTTCGGTCTCACAGAGGGTTAGATAGAGTAGTATGATGTCTTTTTGATTTGACAGCTGGTCGTTGGATATGAAATGACATGTTTTTCAAGTTGATAACGTACTGGACCCATTTTGCTCGTTGATAAACCTGTTGCCATTTCAACTCGTTTCAAAAAATCCAACTTTTTTTCACCAGGTAACACCGTTATTGAAGCGGATTCTGGAAGATTCTCGAATGTAACAGTTCCAATATCCATCGGCTCATCGTCTGAATCAGCACTTATAGTTCTCAACTGTTCAATTGTACACACTTCATACCACAATGAAACCACTTTTATCATTAAAGTAAGATACTATGTCGAGCATGCCAAAATGTTCATCTTCTAATGGTAAATCGGCATGTTTGATCAGAGATGACAAAGATGATTTTTGTTGAAAAATTAAATGTTGATCTAGAATTTCGATAAGACGTTTTGTTATAGTATCCAATACTTGAGAAAGATAATTCAACGGTTTAACAAGCATTGCCGGCACTAATCCTTTATATGCAAAGTCGCCAAAATAACTTCCAGTTAATAATTTGATTCCTTCCTTGTGATTTACTTTAGAATAACCATATATGGGCAGTATCTGTGAATATTTTGTCTTTCTATCGTTAGATTCAAAAAAATTCGATAGTTCATTGCCAAGTTTTAAATCCGGAATTAGTTCTGTAGGTAACAAGACAAAACACCAGCCATTCGTTATGAATTCTGTTTCCATTCGTTTTATTTCGATCCAATCGGTCAGATATAATATTTTATTCAGATCAATAATTGCTTGAGGTTTATTATTGTTCGACGAAAACATATCCGAGTAATTTCGAGCGTTAAACATAGATGAATACTTTTTTTCTAGTTATGCGATGGTTATTTAGTAATTGCTTCGCTTTATAACGAAAATATTTATTGTACAATCTATACCTTTTTTTATGTAGCATGACTATATTTGCGACACGATGCGTATATTATTTATCAATGACTCACTGAGAATGATGACTCCTAAAGGTAATAATACATCAATGACTGAAGGAAGTCAAGCGAAAAAATATTACTCATTTCTAATAGAACTTAAGTGCCAATAAACATGCAGTAATACAATTATTATTTTTTCTTGGTTCGTGTGATCGATAACTGCAGCATATGAAATTACAAATGAATTCTAAAGTTTTCTTTATTCTGTCGAAAGAGTGAATGTGTGTTTTTTTTTATTCTCTGCTTTTAATTTGAGTCAAAGAGAATAATTTCGCTTTATAAGAAATATTTCATACACATTTACATCGTTTTTGGGTGTGGATGTAAATCCTTTCTATCCTTCACATACACCCACGTTCACATCTATCCCTTGAATTCACTTTTTTTTTTGTTGGATTTTATCTTTTGCAAGTCGTATTTACACAATGATAGATATGCAACTATGAAAAAACAAAAGTAAACCTTATCTATTCTATTCACAAGTTCTCGATGAAAAGGCATTTTATCAGTATTCTCGCACGGTGTCTGTATAAAATAACAAGTAAGACAATGCTTCTATCTATACTATTTTATTAGAAATCATCTTGCTATTCGGGATTTGCACTATCATGTAGCGTAGCTCTTATTGAAACTTATCACATTCTATCAAGCTTTTCACAATTTGATGTTTCTTAGAGTCTGTTGGTACTAAATTATCTTCTGAAAAGTTATTTTATATGGTATTGATAGTTTTCACAAAACTCGATTTATGGATATTTACTCTGCTGAAAATAAGTTTGGACTATATTTTGAGGCGTTTAATATTGACGTCACTTTCAGTTTTATATTGATATGTGCATTTTGTCTATATTTCACTTTTATTGAGAAAGATTGATGTGAGAATTTAACTCATTATATAATTACTATTAATAAAATTCAATTTAAAGTTTTATAGAATCTATATGGAGTTGTCGAGACCATCCTTAGTGCATGTCTCTAATGGTGATAAATGCGCTTTCCTTTCTTGGTCGTCTATAACCAACTCAACTCAGTATGAAGTAGAAGTTGAGCATAATTCCACTAAAGTAACAACTCTTTATTATACAACTTCTACAAGTTTCTTAATCACAAAATTAGAAAATGGAGAATTTTATGGAGCTCAGGTGACAGCATTAAATAATACCAAACGAAGTGAATCGTCCATTGGTGTAATGTTAAGGCCAAAATTACGACAGTCTTTATCTAAACTTTCGGCTACGTCTACCGAAAAACCAGGTCAAATTAAATTACAATGGACTGCTACTCCAACTGACTTTGGTTTTCAAATCGAACGATGTAATATTGGTGATATTAGAGGATATAAACGTATTGCATGGCTTCCATATAATAACATAATGACATATGAAGATCAAACTGATTGTCTGTTAGAATGCCTTTGTCCAGGACATTATTATACAATTACATTTCGTGATACAGCATGGGCGTCTGGTGCAGGAGTATTAAGTAAAAAGGTTTTCTGTATAATGTCATCAAATTCAGACTGTATTGAAACATCTCTCATATCACCAATAGAAATATCAAGTATGTTCAGATTTATTGTCAATATTGTTTTAATTTTTATATAACAGATGTGTTCTCCAGTACCTCTACAGAATATGACATAACATCGCTGGAACAGTAGAAAACGATGACAATATTCCAGTTAACTTGCCATCAGAATCCGCAATAATAAGCTCTTAAATGTAATATACTTTTATTACATTATCTTTGAATAAACAATTTCTTTTAGCAATGTTCTATCTGAACATTTGTTAAATAAGGAGAAGGGTAGAAACTTTGCTCATATATTGATCTTTTGTTTTAGACTTCAGAATTTATTTCAGTAATAAAATCAGAACAAAAATGAAAAGCTTAGCAGTTATCATCAGTTCTTTGAGAAAAGAGTCATTAATAGGTACTTAACTCATTTTTATTTGTGATGATGCAACTGTTGGAACAATGTATTTTATCGATCATATCTTCTTTTGTGGGTTTGTTACCGAATAAATCTCTTGTCAGCCGGTGTTTGCCGAAATTTCTTTGAATAGAATATTGATATGAGAATATACAGGATATCGTTACCATAATTCATTAAATATAGTACATGCATATGAAAATGACACAATAACTGTTTTTGATGATATTTATAAATGTTTGTTGATTATTGCCACCAACCCGTGCTCGACTACAGACTGTTGGAAGAATTAGAACTATAAATAGAATGAAATAATGAACTAACACATTCACTTTATTATAAGTTGAGACAAATAATTGAACATAATTAGTAACATAAAGAAGGTGGATGGATGGATATAGATGAAGAACCACACTCGCACCCGAAAATGACGAAATAGAAATTCGCTTTAATTTTTGAATTTATTTCAAACAAATTTAAATTTTTATATATCTTCATGTTCGTAAATGAGAAGCTACACATCCTCACTCACACCCGTCGAATTTCAATCAAAAAGAATTCTATTGTTATTATTCTTCAAAATACAATTATAAACTACATGTTATGAGTGTATATTTATACATTCTTTGGTACATCGATGTTTCTGGACGTGAATAAGAAGTCCATATGGTATGATCGATGCTCTTCGATCTGTTTTCCATTCGATTTCATTATCAGGTATTATATTACAAACATTTTGTCGATATCCATGTTGTTTCACAATTCCTTCAGGGTTTTGTTTACATTCAAGAACAATCTGAACATCATACCATTCACTATGAATATTCAAGATATCGATAGGACATACATGTTTAAGACAAGCATATTTAATTGATGGAGATGTATAAACATGATGCTTATCAGAAAGATGTGTTGTAAATATTTCATTCGATAGAAGATGATCGCCTGGCATAGGAACAAAACGATTATTAATAATTGATTCAAGTTTATCTTTTGATGTTCCATAGAATGTCGTATACCATTGTTTAAATATTTGTTTACTTTCGGCAAATGTCTGATCAATTTGTAATCCAAAGCGTGTCCAATGTCGTGGAACAGTATAGATGGAACCAGCTACGGTGAAGTAATCAGCTTTTGTAATAGGATAACATTGAGAACAAAAACATTTATTATAACGAAAATTAAAATAAGCTTTATTCATTTTGAGATTGATCGAATACTGTTTACATATATTTTGTGAGCATGAGTCAGGTCTGTGACGCTTGCATGGTTTAGCATTAATCTCGCGAGATTTCTCAGGATGTAGTGATGGAGTCGGTTTTGGATCGGCTCTATGAGCAACAACTTTTGGTTTATCATGTTCCACTAATGGCAACTTTTTTTCAACGAGATTATGAATAACTACTGGCGGAGGCAATGGCGGCATAGTAACAGAGGTCACTATAAAGCAAAATAAAAATATTTGCACTGTCATTTGAGTCTAATAAAGTATAAGAAATGTTCGTTTAATAATCAGAGAACTTAATTAAAAGCTGGAATACCTAAATCTGATCAAACTCGACCTATTTCGCTCCTACCGACGCATTCTAAATTATTTGAAAAAATAATTCTTGAGAAAACTAAAAGCTGGGCAGAGAGTAATCAGTTAATTCCCGTTGAGCAGTCAGGCTTTCGACCGGGAGGTCTTTTGCCTACTAGGGTACTATCAATGTACCAAGAGATCATGAACAATCTAGCAGTCCAGCATGCCAGACCATATCGTAGGCTTTTTTATAGTCTACGTATATGGTCAAGGTTGGCATGTTGGCTGCTAGTCAAACTGAGTAACCTGGGAATCCCTGCGGGCCTGCTAAAAATGATTGTATCCTAGCTGAGTGATCGTCAGGCATACATTACTGTAAATTAGCAGAACTATGAGAAGTTCGACATCGAAATCGGACTTCCGCAAGGAAGTAGCTTGAGCCCCAACCTATTTATCATTTTCCACAACGACTTGATCAAATGTCTTGAATCACACTCACGTCACATCTTTGCAGATGGCCTGAGTGTGTTGATAACTGCCCCGATCATGAAATCTCTGCGCGCGATGGTTGAATTTGAAGAAAGGGAGGGAAACAGAATATGTAAAAACATTGCTAAGTACGCGATAAAATGGGAACAACCGATCAATACTCAAAAATCGGTTGTACAAATCTTCAATTCCCAATTTGAACGCCCAGAGATGAAAATCTACATGGAGGGACAGCAACTTGAAATCGTAGATAGTTTCAAGTACTTGGTGTTTACTTGGACTAGCAAAATGTCGCTGAAACCGACAGTCGACCAAGCCCTTTTGAAAATTGGCAAAGCACTCGGGAAGTTAAAATGGTTGAGAACAGGCAGACATATCTCAACTCAGGTCCTAAGACAGTGCTTCTTTGCTTATGTGTTCCCTCACCTGGCATGGATCTTCCCCTTCTATCCCTTTTTACCAAAAACTCAACGAGAGGCTCTGGACAGGAAATTCCGAGTAGCAATTCGACTTGTCCATAGATGCCCATATGTAGCAGCAACCGATATTTTCACCCTAACTAAAGAAAAGCCCCTAGAATTTTATGTACAACGATACATAAAGAAAAAAATAGAAAAAATATATAAGACTGACCTGGGAACATCATACTTTCTTCGCGATGGTTTTTACTGGGATACCTTTAAAAAGGAAAAAAATGACGCCGTGGGACATTACTTCAGATTGAGGAGAGTGAAGAAGCTAGTGACAAGACACAAGTCGCTGCTGATCAATTGGATTAATTTCGTGGAATCAGCAGCAAACAAGAACTAAATACCCTACCTAATCAACATGAGCTCCTATCGATAATATAGTATGAAGGATAACTCAGCTAGGACGCAATGAATCAACTGCACCTTACTTTATTTCAACCGATAGAATGTTACCCCTTCTCCCACCCTTTCTTCTATTCTTTTTTTTTTCCTTAGTATGTAAGCACTCAAGAGTGTAACATTTATAATAAACGCATAAACCAAAACAAAAATCAGAGAACTTAACTCAATCTTCACATTAGAACAACTATACATACGTTGTGATTCAGTTTTCTTTTTCGTTTTTTTCTTTATCAAACATCCTGCGCATAATTCATATCTACGACCAAGACAAAATAAAACGCAAATAACAATAGCAGCAATTATAAAACATCCAATTGTTAATCCTACGATGAGCGGCGTATCTGAAGATGCTGTATTACCTTAAACAAATACATAAAATATGTAATCATCATTATTGATAATTTCGTATCGTTAACAAGTTACTCGGATTATTTTTGATTGTAGTAGATACATACGACGAATTTATTGTAACTGTCGACATTTTTAAGAATGATTTTAAAAGTATTTATCGACTGCTACTCATGCGATCGATTAATTTTTCTTTGCTCTGTTCTTCTTAAGAAAAAGGCAAGAATGTATATACAGAAAGAGAAAGGAAGTATTGTAGCAAATAAAGACATAAAACGTAACTAACGATGAAAAAGAAACAGCAAATGCATGTTGGAAATTTCATAAATTACTAATCAAATACTTGGTAACTTTTCAAACGATGCCACGTCATTGCGCCGAATGTCATGGAATTACTCCTAATTTTCAAGTGAATTTTTGTCAACATTGCGGTAAAACGTTTGGCACTAGAATCCATCGGCCAACATCGATAAAATCTCGACCATCGGTGTTATCTTTGCCTCCTGAACGTACTCCCTCAGACACAGTACATAGACATCATCCGTCAGTTACTTCCAAATCACTTCGTACAGGATTACCATCATCATCACCCTCACATAGTTCATCATCATATTCGTTAAAATCGCGACCGATTTCGATTGAAAGAAAGCGTCGAGAAACTTCCCATGATGATTCGCATAAACGGTCTAATTCTTGTCAATATAAAATAATTTGTGGAGAATATTTGTCATCGTTAAAATGGCAGGAGGTATTTTTCAATCGTAAACATAATCGATGCTATTGCAATGAATGTTACCCAATGTCGTGTAACGATACCTTTGAAACTGGTGGTTCGACTTACGTTATTCCTCGAAATTGGTGCCGTTTTGGTCTCCATGTGGATCAAGTTCGTGCTCAGACTGATCATATATGGAATCAATGGATAATAACTTATCATGGAACATCGGCGATAGCCGCTGAATCAATTGTAAATCATCGTCAGTTTTTAATACCTGGTGATCGATGTATTGATGGCACAAGTATTTATATACATCCTGATCATATTAAGGATAAATATGAAATTTATACATCTCCAACAATTGCGTATTCAAGCCTCTCATGTTATTGTCCTGCACAACAATTTCGATCAAAATTAACCAATAAATTATATAATGCGCAAATTGTACTTCAATGTCGACAAAAACCTGGAGCATTCAAAGTACAAGCTGAAACAGTAGGTGCTGGTAATGAAAGAATATGTTCAGTTATATCAAATGATCAAGTTGAAATATTAACAACAATAAGAGCCGCTATTGTACCTTATGGAGTATTAATCAAATTAACTGAGATTAACCGAAATGATTATTAATCGATGTACTTATTTTATTTTTCAAACTATTTCAAAAAGAATGAGAACAAATAAAATAAATTAATATAATCATTCATTTGTTTTAGATATAATCTCGAATTATTTTGAAAGATTAAACAGTACATTATGAGATCTCATAACGAATGTGAGCAAGCGCGATAAATGATTAACAACATCTATCCTTCAATATAATCTGCCTATTTTATTCTCTCAGTTCCGTCGCACGGGAGGTGTAATGGAGTATGAGAGAAAGCACAACGAAACGATTGTGAAAAAGCACATTCATGTTTGAAATTTGATTCTTCTTCCCGCGTGTAGCATACACTTTATCCTTATCTGTGTGGCTGTTCGAGTCAATAACTATCTAATTTAAGCGAGCAACACGAAAGGAAGTTTCAACTAAATTCAAAAGGATAATGATATTTCGTTTTATCTTTCTTTTTCTCCTATAAGTCGAACGTTTTATGACTCTCTGTGCTGTTAACATTTTACAACTTTTTTTTATGAAATCATACATCATATTACTTTTTCGGATAGAATGTCGTCAATGACGATGTTGTTTTTCTTCTCGGCATAGAAAAAAAAACACAATCGTTTTTTTTTGGGGTACCCGCTTTGCTTATATCATACACAGAACGCAAGAAAAAACTCATAGAATTGAGAATAAACGACAAAAAAATAGTTGTTGTCTACTTGTATAAAGCCTTTTTGCATCAATGCCGTCATTTTATTATTTTTCTAAAGTCCAAAGTATGTATGAATAGAATAGTGCCGCTTGGAAGTTACAAAAATAATACGTACAATATTTTTTTTTCAGTATCGTTCAGAGTATGTCTTGCGCTTCAAACGTAGTTCTTGTTTGGCTCGATGTAAGTATTGGTCAACCCAATCATTATCCAACATTAAAAGAAGCTTTTTCAAAAACTTTACATCCAGAATGGGTATCTTCACCATATCCTAACTATACTAATCTTTATAATCTGATAGAAACTAATTTCAATGCAAAATCATATTCGTATAAAAGTAATGCCATTGAAATGTATGCATTCAGTAATGCAGATGATTATTTTCATTATTTACAAAAGAAAAACGACAAACAAATATTTGTAATCATGTCGGGTCCTTCATGTGAAAATTTTCTACTAAAATCTATTGAAAATTATGCAGACGTATTTCAAAATCCACTCGAAGATCAGCGCATCTCATTTTATGCACTATGTAGCAATGTTTTTAAGATGAAAAAACAGCTAAAAAATAATCAACATCATGTACAAATCTTCAGTACTGAAACTGCTCTTTTAGCCCGATTAACAAATGCTATCGGAGACTATTTCGTTCTTCTTGGACGAAAACAATTGCATGATAAAACTTATAAATCTGTTTCTCAAGCTGTCAAATACTTTTGTTGGGCTAATACACTCTTCGTGAGATCTAATGATTATGAAAAATATACGACATCAGGCGATCGTATATCAATTGTGGATGAATATATTACGAAGGCCAAACGATTACTTGAACAAGTAAGAAATGATAATGATGATATTGATCAATATATTGCTTATGGTGATACATATATGTTAAATGATATGGAAATAACTGAATTTGACCAGGAAACTGAATGGAAAGATGCATTGACTTTTAATGAAAGTATTATGGCAGAGACTGAAAACAATGTCTGTCCATCAGAATATTCAAACACAACCTTATCTACTTTTGTAGAAAAGAAGCCATTCGAAAAAACAAATAGTGTTGGTATTGCCGTCTTTCTTCTTAAGCCTTCGTTTTCCAAAGAAACTTTTCAAAATATCTCAACAATTCTAATACAACTGTTCGATAAAAATTTGATGATTATACAAGAAGAACGAGATTATGAGCAACTACTGAAACCATCTGATTTATCATTTATCATTTTATCACTTTCGACTAATGATGATAAATTATTGTTGAAAAAATTATGTTCACTTAACCCATCTCCATCAATTTATCTATTAGGATCACAGCCTACTACTGAGAAAGAGAAGGAAATGTTCTTTAGAGAATATCATTCTATCTGTGACATGTCAAACAATCCAAATGAATTGGCTGTACGAATGGCAATTGATGTGGCAATGAAAAATCGAATTTTCGCCGATCGATATGTTGGAAAGCAGAATAACAACAATGCAGTGAAAAACTATGATCAGTGTATTGAAATATTAAATCGATTGGGTGATTTTGCTGAACAAGCGTCAACAATGGAGACTGATAGAAGCGACGTCTAAACTTCATATTCTTGTATTATAACCCTTTTTCTTCTAGAGCACATCCGAGTTTTCGAAAACTGGATAATTCAAATGTAACGTAAGCTTAAAATATTTTATTATCTCTTTTTTACAGAAACATTTCAATCTTAATTTTACAATAATTCATTGTATTACTTTTCCTTTTAATAATAATAAAAAATATAATCTATATTTTATGTCATTCAATATATTCATACACATTCAAGAGATACCAATTTATGTGTTGTTACTGATAAAATTCTTGTAATTCGTTAGAAGAAAAGTTTAAGAAGGGATATTTCGAAGTATTAATCGTAACTGATCGAGCTCAGTAAAAATGAATAAGATTACAACATTTAACGTCACCCTGTAATAGCTGACTAGTAACTGGCAATTCAGAAAAACGGTCATAATATGAACTTCGATTGATCATTAACACTTCAAAATATGCCTTCGTTAGTGGTATTCATAATACTTTTTAATTTTTTGTTTATATTTTAGATTTCTTAATTTCATCGTACATGAATGATCAACGTGCTGTTCTCCTTGACTCCGAAAATCGACATTCACCTATCGAGAGTAATCTAGGTCATCGAGTTCAATATTTTACTGACAGAAATACATGCATTCAATATATACAAAATCAAATGACAACTTGTCAAAGAATCGATCTATTTCTTTCTTATCAAGATAAAAATATTATTGGAAATCAATTAGTCTTATTTCATAATGTTTACTTCCATATCTATTATCCTACTATTAATGATATTCCAAATAATAATCAACCATGCATGTGGATTCAACCTTTCGAAGAACTTGAATTATGGGTAAAAATCAGTTATGTAATATATCATCATGATTGGATGTATTATATGCAAAGCAACTATTCTCAAGTAACACGTGTCAATCTGAGAATTACTCACAATATTCTATTGGAAGAAACAAAAGCAGCAAAACTTGGGATACAACCAAATCATTAAATTGATAATTTGATGTATCATATCGATCAAAGTTGAATATCTTTGCTCAATTCAGATGTAATCATGAGTGTCGATTAATAACTATATTTTTTAACTATCTATACAAAACTCAGGTATTACATGTTTGTTATAAAATTCAATTGTGAAAAGAAGAATGTTCTTCGCCAGATGAAATCATCGCAAAGATATTTCACTTTTCTTCTTTCTTGTAGTAAATTTACTTTTTGACTATACTCTGTATGAAATAAGAACATAGCTTTTTTTACTAGCACACTTGATTTCTTAATTTCATAATATTTTTCATGTGATCAAAGTGTATACGAATCTAGTATTTACATGCTTCCAGATCATGTTCTGGACGTTTAATATTGCAAATTTGATGTGTTTTTTTGTTTGCATTCAGTATTAGAAAGTGAAGTAAATACTTTATTTCATGACTCGCACACCGTCAAATTGAGTTTGTCTTGTAAGACTACTATGCAGAAAAGTGTATTATTGATGAATTTCCAAAACAATCGGTCAAAGAAACGAATAAAAATAAGAAGTGAACACGCGCGGGTATAAGCATATTTATTTATCTAAAGCAACTGACTTACTCACATAAGCATCATACTATGCATACGGTTACATGAAACACAACAACAAACATATTATATATTGAATAAGAAAAACGTAATTGTACGAAGTCTTCTTTCTCAATGTAATGGTATAGCTGCCGGTGAGGGTCTGCTATTCGCAGTTTTCATACTACCGACTTTATTCCTCATTTGGAAACGATGAAAACGCGCGTGTAAGGTTCGAACAAGAGGTACAACAAGCAATTTGCACACAAGAAAGAAAAGCCCGAACAATTCTAAGACGACAATAGTGAAGAGAAGATTGTGAAAAATGACTTCTGACTGACGCGCAATTGGTTGTTGTTGATTTTTAACATAATAAACATTTTCTGCAATAATAATATTCAAATTTGTTTGGGTACGTTGAAAGAACGAGTATTGAGTTTGTTCAGTAAATAATTCATCTGCTCGAACAGTAAATGTTGGAAACCAAGTAGCACTATATTTTGCCGAACCATCCACGTTTAATGGATCTGTTTGATTAACAATTTGAGATAATTGAAGTGTATAATCAGTTGATGTAGCTAGAACACTACTGAGAGATGTTGGAATAAATATTGTTGAAGTATTGAGTGTAAGAAGTGTATATCTAAATGCAAATGGATATGATTAAGAATTCTCGAACGTGTATCATTTATCTTACTTTCCATTTTCATATGTGGCAGCAGGACCTGTGAGACCAAGACGAACGGCACCCACCGTCTTCAGTCCAGGTAATGTCACTTGCATATTCATATTATGTGATGGAAGTACAACAGATAATGAAACAACACTATTATTATAATGCATTGTACATGATGATATCGAAAGGTTGATAAATGCATAAGAAATGATGCGTTGTACGAGTATTGCATCCGAACAAATAAAAGCTGTATTGATCAAATCAATAATGAGTGTAAATGATTGTGCATTCAGTAGATCAAAGATAGGTTGAATATCTTTTGCTTGCTGAGGTTTACTCATTTGTATTGAAGTAGTAAACTTCGCATTACGCATACTAGTATCACAGGCAAATGAACTTTTGCTGACAACATTTTCAATAGGATATTGATAATAATAGGCATTGGAGAAATAATAGGCGAACATAACGAGGACTACAACGGCTGCCGAAACTAAACCACCGATCCAGAGCTAAACAAAAAAAAAATGAATATTTTATTTTTTTGATATATAGTTTTCGTACCTCGCCTTCACCAATAAGATCCATTTTCTTGAAAATAGCTTTAGCTTTATCGCGTGTCGGATGTACGCCAGGACAAATAATAGTGGAAATACCCATAGCAACAAGTACAAAGCTACCAAAAGAAATTACGACCAATACCCATGTGATGGGCGAGACGACAACACAATGTAAAGAATTCGTATTGAAGCTAAACATATTTTGCATGAGGAGATCATCGAAAACAGTTGTTTCAGGTGACTCAGGATAATCTTGTTCTTGTTCAATAGTTTCGAGAGCACTGGGTAGTAATGCTTCAACTGCTCCGTATGGACAAAACATATCTGGATCACTGCAAACATTACAATTGATGCCACCTAAATTGCTCATTGTTCCATTTTGACATGGTGAACATAATTCAATACTTGCATATGAGCGATAGGTACCAGGAATGCATGGAACAGAAGTCGAGAAATAACTTGGTAGATTAGTTTCTGGATAGAAACCTGGTGGTGCACTAAGAATGATTGAAGGATCACCAGACATATCAAAAATAGCTATATGACCCAATATTGGATTAGATACAAGACGAATAAATGATGGATTCATTAAAGGACCGAGCATTTGTTGACTATTGGGATAGATAAGGATTGGTTGAGTTTGATCAGTAAAACCATCCGATTCAATATCATAGATATGAATTGCTGATGATATCCATGAATTGTCGGCATAATTATATTGATTGGCAAGCATAACTGATTTTTTCCCTTGACTATCAAGCCAAACCACACTTCTTCCGAATCCCATTCTATTAAGACCATTCTGACGAGTACTCACTGGATAAATTATATTCGAACTAGTGGGATCTTTAACAACATATAGTAAAACAACATTCAGTGCTCGAATACCAATTAACACACGATTAGAAAGTGCTGAAATAGTAACTGCCATGAGGTTACTGTTGAATAGGCTCGAGCAGTAGCAATAAAGTGAGTGCTTCTTGGATCAGCCCATGAAAAATTTAATGAACCTCCAATAGAAAAACTAGTTGTATACGATGGACTCGATAAATTTCCATTGACGTGTATAACAATGGCACATTCAAATGCCTGCAATGGTGTGGTTTGACAATAGCCAGTTAGTACACCATAATTGGTAGTAAGATCGACTGCACGAGGTGAAATCGGTAATGTATTTGGCCAGACATTCATTTTCCATGTTCCAAAATCATAGTAGGTAATAAAATCATCAGCAAAAGCATATACACCCGTACCATTTGTATCAATAATAATGACAAAATTATCTTGTGTTGAATAATTACCAGATACAACTGAATTCATATGTTCATATGCACACACTGTTCCATTATTGACAAAATCAATACGACCAATCACATTACGATATAGAATATCGATACAATTATAAACAAAACAAGGTAATGCTGATTGATTATTTGGCGTAATAACACTGTAAACAAAATCACATTGAATATCATTAGTACCCAAATCAGTAATATTAACTGTACAAAGTTCTGGAGCAGTGAATGGAGCAAAATATATAACATACTCATAATTAAAATTGTTAGCGTAGACAATCAATTGATTATTCATAGCAATCTTCTTTCCATAGAGATCATAGCTATTCGCCACCTTCGTATATGATATAACTTGATTCGTCAAAATACACAGATGAATAAAAAGAAGAATGATTCTAGTTAACATCATATGCATTTCTATCTTACACAATGACTGAATATGATTTGATTATTTGATAAAATGAAATGTATATGAGTATGATAACTCAATAGGTTCTCTTTTTTCCATGTTGCATTCTATGTTTTAATTACGATAAAAGTATCAATTTATTTGAAAGAGGAATCAAATTTTCGAAGCGATATCATGAATGATGTGGGTAATTCATACTGACGCATAGATTAGTAATAGAATAAATTAATATCAAATAATATTTTCCATCTCATTTTCTAAGTGCAATTCTACATTACGGATATTATTCATTTGTATCTAAATGAGAAGTGACACTTCATTTCTTAGTTACATTGTTATCTTACTTTTGTTATTTCAGAGAAAAATAACCTGGATGTTTCACTTCTAATATAAGTGCCTCTCAAAAAATATGTTTCCCTAGAATAAATGAAGACAGATTGAATTATTATATGTTAAACAAGATTGTGATTGTGAGTTGAATAGGTTAAGAAAGAGATGCACACCTACACCCTCAAAATTTTACACACTAGTTTTTTAGTTTTCCTAGTTGCCGACTTTCAATTCGATATATAGTATCTCCAAGGAGTACACAACAGAGACTTCATCCCTAAAGTCTTATGAAATCTTGCGAAATCTTTTAAAATCTTTGAAGTCTGTAAAGTCTCTTGAAGTCTTTAAAATCTTGAAGTCCGCTGTTTTCCTCTTGAGTATCTTTTTACTTCTAAGTTCAGATTGAAATATAATATACTGTTGTATGGATACTATGGTGGACCGTACATACAGTGCGCCGATGCGTTAACAGCAGCGGGGTCTATTGATACAAAAACGCCTGAATAATGCTCAAACGGAAAACTAGAGCCCAAAACCAAACTTAAGCTGAAACCCAACTAGGGATGTGCGATGTCAGTTTGCTGATACCACTGACTAGCGAGCTGCCGGTCCACATTTTTTTGGGCCCGTACTCGACCCAGATTCGAAAAAAAAAATCAATGTACTAAACCCGCATCCGACTCTGACCCAGTCAGGTTCCGGTGGTGAATCGACTCGCAGCTCCCTACCACTCACACTGAAATACACTGAGGCACTGATGATGTCGGTGCACCGACGTTTAGAGATATAAATATATCTGCCATATCGGTAAGCGTCGATGCACCGAGCTCGTCAGCGCTTCAGTAAGCTTACTGTTAGTGACTTCAGTATCAGTTTTTGCAGTACTTGCACAGATACCATACATCCCTAAGCCAAACCTCCGCACTCAAATTCTGGTTGAATGCACGCCAGAAGCCAAACTCACAACAACACCCTTACCCAAACTCTATTTGAATATTCGCTGTAAAAAATGAGTGTGGAATAATAAATCCTTCAAAAGGGTTTTCTAACTTCATAAACTTTCTCATATACCCTTTTGTTATGATAAACTCTTTCATAAACCCTTTTTCTTCATCAAACCTAGGAATGGTATATTATACGTTGTACATTCATAAACGCTTTAGGGTATTTGAGTAGTAAAATACCCTTAAAGTGTTTATGAATGTGCAACGTATAATATACCATTCCTAGGGTTGATAAAGAAAAAGGGTTTATGAGGTTAAAAAACCCTTTCGAAGGATTTATTATTCTATACTCATTTTTTACAGTGTTCAAACTCTCAGCTAAATCCAAATCAAACACCAAAACATAATATCCAAAGTTCCAAACAGTTAGGTTTGGTACATGTCTAGTTATACGGCTAAATACTACAATGCATGAGAAAATATACTATGACAACCATACACTAGATCTAAATTTATGCTAGTTTTGTTGAGTTAGCATTAGTTTTTTTATATTGATATAAACACCTACCTCAGAGACAACAGAAAACAAGAAAATTGACGTAGCACAGTTTGCAAGCAAAACAATGTTAAAATGTAGTGTTATTATTTCTAATTACCTTTTGCACTTCTATATTCTACTAACATAAACTCTCATTCAGACAGTGAGAGACAGAAAGAGAGGAAAAAAAAGGACATTCCATTTGCTACTGCAGAAGGTGAGTATCGTATAGAGAACTGCATTTTGATGAGTAATACATGTGAAAAATGTAGTGAGAGTCAATAGCAAGGTGAGAGGAAAAAAAGATTGACAGAAACTACTGAGTTCAGTGGAAAAATAATGAATATAATACAACAAAAAATGTGTTTCATCCTTCATAGTGACAACAGAAAAATGAAATTAAATGGATTCTCAGAACCTTTTCTGCATGTTAAGTACTGTCATCATCAGCATAAATCTCTAATTTTGAAGATATAATTTAATCTTTGAATATAATCAACCAAATATTAGTAAATCTCAATATCATATAGTCATAATAATCAAGTTCTACATCTAAAAATAGTACAGTTCAATTTATCTTTAAGTGTGCAATAAATACAGAGCAGAAAGGAAGGATTGAAGCGACAAAAGCCACTTTCGGTCGAAGATTTTGATGATCTGTAATCAATGAATTTTAAAAAATGACAATTCGTGGGTGATTTGATCCATGTATTGTCAAATAATCTATTAAATTGTCAACGGAATTCATGAATGATGAAGATTATCAATTTCTATCTTTAATATCATATTACATTAACGTTGTTGTAAATATTTGTTTACAAATATAAGTTTTTTTCTTATCCAGCTGAAAAGCTGTTTCTTATGATAAAAGAATATCTTTAAAATCTCTGCTACAATAGTTCGCTCTCGTCTATTCTCATCCTCAATATTTTTGATATCATCTCAAATACATTGCGAAGGAGCTTATATTTAACAACTGTTTGATCAATGCACGATAGTTTATTATGTTTTACGAAAGCAGCTGATTTTTCTCGATCAAGATAATAATTATGTCTTAACTGTCTCAAAACAACGTTTTTCTTTTTATTGGCATCTGTTGACGAACTTTGTTTCCCGTTGTTTTAATTAGAAAATGTTTTTCCATTCTTTTAATCACATTAAATGGTTTTCTGTAGGAAGAAAAATAGCATTCAACTGTTTGCCTATGACTTTCTCAAATAATTTACTTCCTTTTATCTTTGTCTTTCATAGTAATTACATAGATATCTATTTATATAGAAGTAGTGGATGTATTCTTAGTGTCTTGGTAATAAAAAATCAATGGAACTGCCTTGCTTTTTAGATGATTCAAAGCATTTATTTTCTTCAATATGCATTTCATATTATTTGATTTTGTTCTTCACTTTTTCTTAAATTAATAAAGTAAATGTTGATTAAAACACATGTCTACTTTTACAATTGTTATTTCTATGAAGAATAACATATTTGAGAAAAGAATGTCTTTTCAATTCTTAACAAAAGTAGATGAAACGAACAGAATATCCTCTTTGCATTGTCTTCATTTGTTTTTGTCAATTGAATAAACTCAAAAACTGAAATATTGAGGAATGTTTCGATTCCTCTTATGTGTTAAAGTATATTTACATCATTTTAATAACATAAAAGACGATTTTCTCATAGACTGTTATGTTTGGGAAGTAGTCGAGTGTCATACAGATTATCACTGTTTTTTAGTTATAACTATTTTTTCGCAGTCTCAGTCTTGATGATAAGATTAATAACGTAGATCAATGCAAATTTTGATGCTCTACAAAACTGTATATTCCTCAGGGCTTCTCTCTCTGAAGTTATATTATATAAAATCAGTCCAATAGACATTGTTCACTTATGTCATGATCATTTTTAAATATTTGTACGAAGTTTTTCAGCTGAAAACCGTCTTATCACAAAAAAATCCTTACTACTAAAGGGGAAATATCATCTCGGAACGGTGGATATACCGGGCTTTCGTAACCCGAAAGCCCTGTCATTTTTTTTCAACAGGGCTTTCGTACCTGAGTTTAACTGGGCTTTCGTATCGATTTTAACAGGGCTTTCGTATCGAGTTTTAACGGGGCTTTTATACCGGAATTTAACAGGGCTTTCGTATCGGTTTTAACAGGGCATTCGTAACGAATTTTTTATTGTATTGATACGTAAGCTAAAAGACTAATACTCCATAAGAAAACAAGGTATTCGTTGCGAATACTCTTGAGAGTATATATATATATATATGTATATATGTTTAGTTAGTAAGTACGATCCATTCGTAACATCTACTATTAGTAATGGTTTGAATATCTTTTACTGTCTCGTAAATTAATCATCCATATATCCCCATAGATGTCATTCTTATTTTCTAATCTCAATAGAGGATTTCATAATAATAAACAATGGAGCAACAGATAAACCATTGGTAAACAAATACATTTTGGGTGACGGTGTGGGTGGGTGTGGATGTGAGTATTTTTTTATCACATACCCACACCCACCCTTCATTTATATTCTGGTTCTTTCTTGCTACTCTTAAACTTTGTTCATGGTTACTTTAATAAAATACTTACATCAATACGAAAGCTCTGTTAATAGTATTTAATTTGAGATAATATTAACAATTTTGGCTTTACGATAACCCTGTACGAGCGGTACGAAGACCCTGCAAAAAACGATACGAAGGCCCTGTAAAATGTATAGGTACACTTTGTCAATACGATACGAAAGTCTGTGTATTTGTGATACGAAAGCCCTGTAAAATCGATAAAAAAGTGCATTAATTTTTGATTACGAAAGCCCTGTCAAAAAGGCGATACGAAAGCCCAGTAAAACTTAAAAAAACACTGGGCTTTCGTAACCGACCGTTCCGAGATGATACTTTCTCCTACTAAAATCTGCACTGTCTCACGCTCTACAAATTTATATACTTATTTTAGTAAAATTCGTATTATCTAAAGATTCGTTTTCAGCAAAACATTGTCAAAAGTGATTGTTTTGGAGTGTTTTCCCGCTAATGAGAATCCTAGATTTTACGTCTACTGTCTCTCGGAGGTCTTCAAAAACATTATTCCCTAACTGACATTTTTATTAATGAAAATGATGATTACTAGAAGTTTTCACTAGTTCATATGACTTCTGATGGTATTTTAAAAGCAAAAGATCTTTGTCGAGCAGTAATCAAATCGTAGTGAAGAAAACCATAATTAAAAAATGAATTATCATTGACTTTATTCTACTATAATGGTGAATGTTGAGAATTTTGTGAAAACTTTAAAATCATTATTTCGAAATCGACCTTCGCATCGTATTTCGCAGACGAGTCTCGACTCGTGTGACATCTAATTTTACTTTAGTAACTTGAGCGACAAGTAACCTAAATGTGTCACTTCTAATCTCAAAAACCGTGTTTCACTAGAATCGATGAAGACAGATTGACTTATTATATGCTAATCGAGAGTGTGGATGGCTTAAGAAAGATATCCACACCCACACCCAAAATTATATTTATTTGTTTATAAAATACACAATAAAAAACTTCACGAAAAATAATTACTAGTTCATGTCCATCCAAATCTTCTTTTTAAATTAGTGAATGCATCGGTCGCCATCGTCACAGGATAAAAACCTACAACAATAATCAGAATTCTAATTCGCAACTTATACAATCACTGTATATATTATTAAAAGATTGACACTATATAGTAAAGAATATCTGAGTATTTTTGATATAGAACTGACTAAACGACGTTGTCGACAAAGTAATAATAATTGACTAGACAATTTCGAACGAATCTTTGTCAAAGTATGACGTACCTTGGGATTTGGTAGGTCCATTGATTTTTTCAATTTTTACATTTGCATCAGGAGCCCTACTTATTAGATCATCTACCTTTCCTTGTTGTTGATTTTTTGTTTTGGTGGGTATATCGTCTTTTTTCTTGATATTATACTAGAATAAAATTTTTGCAGATAAAATTCGATATGAGCATATACAAATACATACTTTATCACGTATTTTTTGTCTTGCATCTTCACGTTCTTTTTCAATTTTAGAATGACGAACTTGACGTTCTCGTTCATTAGCTGCTTGGCGATTCTGTTCGGCCTACAAATACAAAATACCCAATAAGAATTTAATTGTATGATTATAAATATTTTTTGTACGATTAGATCTTCTCCCGACATGCCATTGTCTTCATTTTCTTCTGTTTCATTACTACCAAATATACCTATAAAAATGAGGAAATAAAATAATTAGATAATCTTGTTTGAAAAAAATATCTTTCATTAATATACCATTGACTGCTTTATCAATTTCATTTCCAATTGCCATTTTCATAAGATACGAAGACATTTTCACTATTCAATTTTGTTGTGAGTTTTGCTTCTAAAAATTGCGAAAAATCTTAAGTCTCGACTATAAATATAAGTAATACGCACATGCAATTTCTTCTTTTTTCTTTTTCTTTCTGTTGTGTAGAAGCAAGAGAGAAGTTAAAAAAACTATTACGACATGATTTTTTTTCGTTCTTTTTGCGTTTTATCGTCATATCATAATAGTATACAATGGTGAATAATCATCAAATAGAAGGAGAACACATTCTTCATATTTTACTTATGACTATACGTGCATTTTTTTTTGTTTGAATTGGTCACGTAATAGACTATTTTTTAAGCGTCTTTCGAAAGCATATATTATATAAACTGAAAAGTACTTTGTATATGTGAATATATGTACATATACATTCTCACTCACACTCTCAAGTATATCAATAGCATACAATTATATATTTTTATATTGACTAAGTACAAACTGTTAGTCATCAATTTTCATGAGTTTGCTATTTGTCATATAATGAATCACTGTTAATTATTAAAATGTTATGACGAAGAAAATAAATGACAATGTACAGCTGACATATAACTTTTTTTATTGATTTTGATTACTTGTATTTTGTATTTAAAGAAATATGGTAATCTTTTATATTTCGAATATCAATAGGATGAAAAACAGAAGAATACAATAGAAATGAGATTCATAAAAAAGAAGAGTTTGAACTAAATGTACAAAACTTTACTTATTAGGTAATTTTTGCAACAATAATTGTAATAGGAATATGATCTTGAGGAGAACTAATTGCTTGTATTTCGAGTGAAGCTTTATTCTTATTGTTCAACTCATCATTATCTAAAGCCAATTGAAATTTTGTTATTGTTTTAAGATTTATTTTAGGATATAAAACTTGACGTAGTCCATCGGTTGTTCTAATTATGATATGTTGTGTTAATCTTTGATCGGATTCATTTTTTGAATGTTTGACAATATTTTGAAGTATGCTCAATTTAGCCAAATCATCAGTACCAACCAGTGCTGCAAGAAAAATGACTTGACATTGTTTTAAAATCGATTCTATATGAAATGGAAGAGGTTTCTGATTAATATCTTGTGTAATAAAATGCATGCGTTCAAAGAGATGCGATGATAACAATTGTTTACATACATTCGATGCTAATTGATTTGCTTCATGTGATATATCTATATTGTAAATATATACGAATGGCGTGTGTTCAGTAAGAATGAGCATAGAAGAAACTGGAATTGGACCTGAACCGATAAATGCTATTTTAGTGACTACAGAATTTAATTTATCATTTAATGGTAAATTTTGAGAAAATTGAATACCCAAATTTCGTAACATATTTATTTCAAGTTGAATTAATCGATGATAATCACCACCATCAAAAAAGTGTTCAATTAAACTCTGATCTGCATTAGATGCATATATCTTTGCCGAGTGGATTTCAAGATGATATTCATAACGTGAACGTAAATTACGTAAATTTTCGCATACTGTTTTTAGGACGGAATCTGTTTCTAACATACGTTCAAATTTTAATGAGCATATTGGAGTTGAACAGCAAAATATAAGAAGTTCATTGAAAAGATGAGTTACTTGTGGAGAAGGATCGAGTAAATTAAATTGAGAAATAATACTATTGAATTGAATAAGTTGTTTTGTAATAAAACTTTTTGTTAGAGAAAATTCCATTCTGTCCATTTGAACAACGAGTGATTGTGAACTTGTAATATTTATATATAGTCTTGCTAAAAGTATCACTATTTATACGTAAGGCTTCTTGCAGAATGACTAATTAATATGAGCAGCACCCCTTTGAATGCATGTACCTCCTGTCGAGACACCTCCGTTTGAAATTACTCATTTATGTAAACGACGCACCTTTGAGTACATGCACCCCCTGTCGAGGCACCCCCCCATTTGAAGTTACTAATTAATATAAAAAGCACCCCTTTTAGAGATATTTCTGTTGTTCGTAATCATATCATAAAAAGATTTCGTCAATTTTAGATATTAATATTTAATTAATTAGGATAACATTGAGGATTATTTATTAGAAATATAAAAGCTTGTCAACGCAGTCCCGTTAGAACTAAAAATGTGAAACTCACATATGTTCGTACCAAAGACATCTGATGACCTTTAACTCTTTGGTCTTCTCTTCTTTCTGAAAGAAAATGTATTTGTAGTATAATTTGTAGAAGCTTTTAATGAATGTGACAACTAGTAAACTTGAATTAGAGATTAAGAGTCACGATTTTTTCTGCGGGGGATGGGTGAGTGTGGAGCAGTGTTGCCAACTCTTCCGGTTTTTCCAGAAAAATTCCGGATTTTTTCCGGCTGCCGGATTTTTCCGGATTTTAGATTATTTTTATTCAACTAAATTATGTTTATCTGTTAATACTCAAAAAAGAATTTTTATTTGACAACGACTTAGTGGCTTATACTTCTTATATATTTAGTTTATTATATTCTGAATTTTGATGTTGGTTTTCTTTTGATATATTGAACTATGGGGTTTTTGAAATAATAAGCTGTATAATTGAGAACAAGATTTGGAGAAACTGATTTTAGCCGATAGAAATTAACTGTTAAAAACCTTTCCGGATTTAACAAAAAAAAGTTTCCGGAGTTTTCCGGATTTTCACATTAGAATTCCGGTTTTCTGACTATGACAGTTGGCATCACTGGTGTGGAGGGTCATTCATTTATAAATGTTATATATAACCATTCAATATAGTCTTTGTGTCATTCAACAGCATACTAGTGTTATACAAGTGATACGAAACAACTCATATTGGATAGTAAACCGTGTAGACAATAGTTTGATGTAGGTTAGAAGTACTGCTGAAAAAAATATAGCACTTTTTACATTTTTTCAATTTTAATAAACTACATAAATTGACGTGATCTCCCTTAGTTACAACTATTGTTAGCATTTTGATGAGATAAAAAAACAATATTTTTTTTCACCAACATTAATGTCAAAAGACGAATCGGGATGGTTATGAATAGATTCTTTTTTAATTATACTCTTTGATGTTACATTTGGAAATGAGTGCGTGATAATACAAAGATAGATTATATATATTCAAGCGTTAAGCAATAAGATAGATGTAATGAATTTTACAATTTACATCAATAGCACTATACCAAATATTAAGTCAATCATGAAAAAAAAGTGGGACAAATATTCTAAAAAATTTGAGAGAATGTAACCAAAAGAAATAGATAGAAGAGAAACAGAAAGCGAAGTAGGACGCTCGTAAGCATTTTAAAACCAAAAAAAACAAAGAAGATAAGAGAAGGATTCTATCTGCTCTTTTCTTTGTGTAGAATTACTTTATTTCAATAAATGATATCCATTTTAAGAGGAGCAATTTATATATTTCTAATAATTGTCGTTGTGATCCAAGAAGCAGATAAAATAAGAAAAATAATTATGAAAAATAATGAGGTGTCTATAAAAATAGACATTATCTAAGCGTGTTCTGGAGATGCAACGATTTACTCTTAATTATTTTAGCTTTCTCAAGCGTGGAGAATGTACATGTCGGATTGCATGAATGAAATATCTACATCCATTTCCATTTTATTCTTCTTTATTTCTCGTTTCATATTGATCATTTTTTTCACTTAGTACTATGTCTTCTATTGCTGTTTCTCTTGCATCTATACAACAAAACATTATCCGCTATCTACTTCCTATACCACTGGTACTAGGTAACTTTGGTAATCTGCTGCTCATTGCCATATTCTCTCAACGACATCATCGGTACAACTCTTGTTCACTGTACTTGATTGGCGCCGCAATCTTTAGTCTGGTAGGTATTAACTGGGGACTCATTACCAATATTTATGCTGTTTATCGACCACCAGATCCGTTCGGTATGTCTCTGTTTCTTTGTCGCATACGAGGTTATATTCTACAAGCTTCAACACTTTTGTATAAAATCATGATTTTATTGGCATGTTTTGATCGTTTTGCACTGACTTCGCCTCGAACTATCATGCGTAAGTTCACAAAATCAAAGGCTGCGTTGAAAATAATTAGCGGTGCCACTCTTTTCGGTTTACTAATCTCAATACATCTACCAATTTTTGAGACCATCGAGAATAATCGATGCAGTACCTTTGGAATATATGGAATCTTTTTCAGTATTTATATGTTCTGTGTTTTTGAGCTCATTTTACCGATTTTTACAATAGTGTTCAGTTTTCTCATTCTGAAGAATTTAAAAGAGGTTCGGTCTCGTGTACAGCCTGTTTCTGGAAGAAACGATACTTCACAGAATGTTTTATCTAGGCGTGATGTAAACTTGATTAAGCTTGTGTTAGCTGAAGTTGTCATTGGTATGGTTCTCACTTCCATGACTCCAATAGATTTGCTCTACGGTATACTGACAAGTAATGTGCCCAACAAGAGTCCAGATCGAATCGCAATCGAATCGTTCATTGCTTTTCTCGCACTCATTGTCTTGTTTTATCTAAATTATTGCGCTACGTTCTACCTGTATGTCGCCATATCCAAACCCTTTCGTCAAGAAATTAAACGATTTATCATGAAGTGTATCAGACAACCAGAACAAGAACAGGCAACTATTGTTTCTATTGCAATAGCTCAGAGATGAAAAGTGAAACATATCTGGTCGTAAACATTTTACACTATTATAGTTGACTAAAGAAAACTCATATCGTTTGATGTTGTGATAGTCTTTGTTTGTCGTTTCATACATGACATTGTTTTCTATAGTTTGATGTCGTAAAAGCTTTTGTTTATAAATACATTCATAAAAACTATTTTTTCCACAGCATCGATATGGAAGGATAGACATAACATTTTGAGGGTGGATATGAGTGCGTGCATGTGTATATTATTTTCTTATTGGATACATACCCTCAATATTTTTATGCAAATATATTATTAAAGCAACAAAATGATCTTTTTACGAAATAGTAAGAATTTCTTCGCATTGAAAAGGCTCATGGCGTATCAGATATGAAAAAAAATTCTATCCAACGTCAAAAGTTAAATACAGGCATGAAAATTTATTAAGACGATCAATCTCTTATGTAAAAATGGATGAAGATGTAAGCATGTGAGTATAAAACAGCTACTCACAAATCTGTGTCGTAAACTATAGCATCTTAACTATCACTCGAAAATACTCTATAATGCTTACTACCGGAAACTAACAAAACTACAGATCATTTATCTTCGTCAAGTATTGTTTTTAGTAAATATACTTTTTACTGAAAAAAAAAGAATTCTGATTAAATTAATCATGCTTGTTGAAAACTGTTTAATAAAAGCAATCCATAATTACCAATAATCTTTTCAAAACGCTAATTCTAATAAATCTCCAATATTTAATTTACTTTCACAAACATATATTGAAAAATTCGAATGAATAAAAAGCTCTTCAATGTTTTCAAAATTTCATCTTTAGGTATTTTATCTTTTGTGTAATACTCTTGTTTATGTCACAGAATCATCTACACCCATCGTTAATACTGCGAATCATAACATAGTTTTCTTTTCTTCTTCTCCTTATTTTCCCTCTCCTATATCAGTTTCTGTTGTTATACTAAGTACATATCCCACCAAAAACTTTATCTATTGTCGAGAAAAGCTTTTCTGAAAATTTCTTTTGGTCTTTTTCTTATCTGTAATCCATTTGAGTTTATTTTTGTTAAATTTATGACTTATTCCAAGAGACACGGTTGCATATTTTGAAAAACAATTGTCGGAGAGAATATCAAACTAAAACTAAACTGAAACCTAAACACAATAATTCGTTGAGTTGACATTGATCAAAGCAAATGATACGCAAGAAATGAAGTCATAAGTTCTGTGAGTTAATTCTGACAGTAGGATGTCGGTGAGGATATGGGTGGGTAGATATAAAAATGAATATGATACTCATACCGACACTCTATATCAGTACAATAAATACTATTATTTTTCAAGAACGAACACCAGCGTATAAGGATGTCTGGTAGTAGGGAATAAAATTAAAGTAGTATTGGTTTCGAATTTTTATAGAATAGAATTGTATTAGTAATAGAAAAAAAACAGTTAATAAAGTGTTTCGAATCCTTTTCAGTGAGTGATTCGCAATCAAGCTGACCAATATGAAATGTATATAATCAAAATCTTTGTTCGTAAAATGGATCAAGGTCGTAAGTGACGTGGGCATTTGGAAAAAGTTTCTTTATCGATTGTTTGTTCACTTTCTCTTTGAAGACGAGTCGCACTCGCTTTATTTGCTCACAAACATTTTGCACTTCGTTTCCATTCAGCTCTGGCAATTTTTCCACTTGTTCGAAAGCTTTTGTAAAATACAAGCGTGTCACATTAGGACATAAAAGGAAGAGGTTTTGTACCGTTTGAAGATCTTCCGAATGTACGACAAGAGTAGTCACCCTATCAAGTGGAATTACACTTTTTACTCGCGGAGAGCAGTTCAATCGCCAGATTAGTATACGCATAAAAGGAAATGTTTCTTGAATCAGTTTTACCGTATTAGTGTCGATCGTGAATGAACAGTATTGAAATTTCAGAGTCTGTACCTGCGGAAAGCAAAGTGCTTGTGGTGATGTAACGAATATTTTCGGAGTCTGAAGCCAAAAAACAGTTTTATTTATAGTAGATGACAGACAGCAAAAACGCTTTTCTTCACATCGAAGAACCGGTCGATGTGAGAATGCGTCGATATATGATTTCCAGTCAAAGTCTGCGGGCAATTGAAGCAGTTGATAATCTATGGAGAAATCGAAATTGATATGATTGTCGACACGATCCATTTGCTCAGGATCAATAATTGAATAGGCATAGACTTTCAGTTTGATTATTTTTAACGATTTCGAACCCAATTGAAAGAGTTGACTTAGTAGATCAAAGTTGGCAATGTCGCCAGTAATCGAAATATAACGTAGATATGGTGGTGCTACCACAATAATATTTGGAGTATCTTTCTTAGGTATGTATCGAGAGAGAACGACATGGTCCTGAACATCGCTATCAGCATCTGTTTCGGTTGATACACCCACAAATTTGGCGTTCATGAAAATATCCGATTCTAGCTCAAGTCCATTAGATATAAGTCCAACTTTAATAGTTTCCAGATTTGGCAGACACGCAAGCAAAGCATGTAGAAATGCTTCCTCCTGAACTATACAGTTTAAATGGCGAAGCTGACAATGTGAAGGTAGATCATGAATATTGAGTGCAAGACGACAATCGCTCACATTTAGTGTATGTTCGGGAAATTGACCATTACCATTCAGCAGTAAATTTGTTATATTCGTGTTCAAACCTCCATCATAGGTCGATAGAGTAAGTGTGCCAACATGTACGTCTGCCACTGTTTGAAAATGTGCTACAAAACAATTAAGATAGTATTCTGTTTCGTAATCATAAATAATAGTGAGCGCATCGAGCTTAGGCATTATATATAAAATATTCTCGGCGAATTCAATATCAATGACAACACGTTTGACGTATTGTTGAACGATGGTACGATATTGATTGATCCAAACAAGTGGTTCGGCAGCGGTTATTTTTAAATTCATCAAAGAAATACGGAATGCAAAAAGCTGCTGAAGACGATAATTAGGTAAATCGCCGAAAGATTCGATCAGATCAGCAGCTGACAGATATTTGAAAATATGAGAAATAAGTTCATTTGGTAATGAAAGAAACTGATTTAGAATGTGACTCGACGACATAAGTTGAAATAGTCTTTCTAAAAGAACAAAAGAGTTTATTTTACAAAGAGTGTAGGTGAATGTGGATTTAGATGTGAGTAGGTGCGTGGGTAAGTGTTCTCTCTTTATCTATATTTATGTTCACCCACACCCACTCTCACACCCACATCCTCGAGGACAAGAACATAAGACGAGTAATACGTACTGATTTTGCTTATTCGTAAAACACTTTTTATTCTATCTTTTCACGTATATGTTGCTAGTGACTGCTCCCGACGAAGTGAAGAAATGCGTAGAAGACAATCGATTCACGAGTTATATGCAAACTTGACTGGAGTTTTTATTATAATGATGTTGAAACAGTGGCAAACAAAATGAATAGTCGACGTTGATAAGAGCTTTTTATTTGCTTTTGAATTGATGATAATATTATTCACGTTGAAAGGATTTCTTCTCTGTTTGACAAAGATAAGAACAAATCTTCAAATATACGTTTGAGATCATACTACATTATAGAAAGAAGCGAAAAAAAAAGATTGATTCTCTCTTTTTCTGTTTTGCAATAGCAAATAGTGCCTTTCTTTATCCATGAGATCTGGAAAAAAGAAGCAAACTTGCATAGTTCTTGCCACAAAATTATATCGAAAATAAGTGAGATGGTGGTCTCCAGTGCACAAATCGCGATTCATATTTCACTTATTACTTTCAAAGGGGAGTGACCGTAGATTAGACATACAGCAAATTTGAATTCCATCCAAGCAGACATGCACCGAAAAAAACGCGTTAAATTATTTAACGACGTTAAAACTTCTTATAGCTTTAAAAGCTTTAAAACATGTTACATTCTTTAATGAGTTTGTGTGGGTGTAGTTGTGTGCGCATTATGTCTGTGATACCCACATCCACATTCATACCCACCCGCCCCCTGTTGGGTTCCATAGATTCTGTAGTGAAATTTGGATACTGTGTATCAGTCAATATTTGCAACCAGTTGTATGATTTATTGACTTCTTCTATAAATAAAAAAAAACATAAATTATCAGACGTTTTTATTTAGAAAATAAAAATAATTTCTTTTGAAAAGAAAAAAGACAAAATGAAATTTTTCTAAAAACTATCTTGATAGAAAAAAGTTTATATAAAATAAAATAAATTAATAAAGATTTAAAATATTTCATTTAGAAATAAATTTTATCTTTTACTTTTTCTTATCAAACATATTCCAAATAGAATAAAATCTTGTTAAGTGATAATAAAGAATGTCTCGAAAGTTTATATTTTTATTCTATTTAATGAAATTTATCAATATGAACGTATGAATTTGATGATGGTGATTAATATACTAGAAATATCAAAGAATAAAGAAAAAAAAATAGTAAACAAAATTGAATTAAAATCGAAATAAACAATATGAAAAAGATTTCTAAAATAATCACATAAACTTTTACGAACTCAAATTAAATATAATTTATTCACGTGTTTATCATAAAATGTCAATGCATATTTTTATTTATGAAGTTATCAGTATATAATCATAATAAAATCGATTGTTTCTCATTTATTGATAATTTTTTTTTACATTTGGAAAGAATATTTTTAATCATCATTGATTTTATTATTATTATTATTTTTAATAGAAAAAGAAAAACCAAAGAGATTTGTCTCCTTCATTCTTTGTATATTAAATATAGAACTTAATGTGATTTAAAGAATCTCAAAAAATAAAATTATTTTATAGAGATTTTTAGTGTATGACATGATATTTAATAAACAACTCAAGGATGGCATTTGTACCTGAAAGTTTATTCAACAATACAACTATCTTGAAATCTTCAAGTCAAAACAAAATTTTCTTCTAAAGATATTCCAGTTTTGAAAAAAATGAATATTACAAATATCTCACCAAGGAAATATTGTTTAGAGTTGATTATTTCAGAATATTTTTACTATCATGATTAAATCCAATCTTTTGAAAATATGTCTATTTCGCTAGCTTTTATTGACTACACACATTCGAACTTACAAATAATTGAAAATACTTATTTCTAAATTGTTTATTTAAATGATAAGATATAATATTTATCTTCTAATACATTTCATTTTCAACATGAGCAGAAAAATAAAACATTACATTTGCTAATAGTCACAAAATCTTTTATATAGTATATTATTTATTTATTTTCTATTTTGTGACTAATAATCTATTCAATAAAAAGAACAAAGAATTCAAATGATAAATTATTATTGTATTCATTACAAAATCTCATTTTTTTGTCTAATTTATCAAGCACTATAATATAAAATATCTAAAGGAATAAAATTCTAACAATGTGTTTTTTATTAATTATTTAATTTTTCTTAGAATAATTAACAAATTTGAAAATAATTTAATTTTTTATCCATATTAATATTGTTGTTATTGATTTAATTAATGAATAAATCAATAATATTCTCAATTGCTTCTTTTTTTCTTCATCATTATTTTTCCTTCAGAAATAATTTCTTTAAAACTTATTTTTTGATAAAATAACTGAAATTCGATTAATAAATGCTTGTGAATCTTGTTGAATAGAAATATTTGTTGGATTATTTAATTTTTCTGTAATTTCGGCTCACATTCGCACTCACATCCACACCCATAAATTAGTTGAAGAAAACAAGGATCATGATCGATAAGGCGTCAGCATCTGCCAATAGATTGTCAAAAATGAAAAACTATGAAAGCGATTCTGTCTTAATAGTTCCACATTTTCAAAACGATTTTATCTCCGTAACTGTCTGTATAGCTGATCGAACATTTTGTCGGCAGATGGTTTTCTATCCACTTGATTAACTCAGATTCCGCTGGCCAATACATCTCATTCTCTTCGTAGTTGATATGAACACTCATTGTTCGAAGATTGGTCATTATGTTTACAAGATTCACTACACTTTCTCGAGATTCAACGAAAAGCTGAAGGACTTCACATTGTTGTCCTAATGATGACATGGCAAATGTAGTACATTCTTCATCATCAAAATAATACGGAGAAGAATATAATGTTGAATCAAACTGAAGATGACGAACGGATGCACTTTTAAGTTTGGATAGTCCTGTTAACTCTGACTTATCCGCGTTGTCGACGATTAGCTTATAGAGACGAGGTGCTCGATCAAACAGAACCTGAAGGTCAGATTCCGAGTCTTTCTCATGTATTGATATGCGCAATGAAGTCAAGTGATCGAATGTTGGAATGATCTTCCAGATATTGTCGGGTAAAGGTAGTGAAATTTGGAGATAATGAATATTGGGAAAGTAAGCATGAGGTATATTAAGCTGTTCGTTTACCGACTCCATGCAATCGAGATTATGTACACGATTAAATAAACAATACTTTTCGTCGTCAGAGCAAGTCCATTTGGATCGTCTCAAACCGTTAGCTATGCCAGTAAATAGTCTGAAGGCATACGGTAAGGTGTAAAGATATCCAAAAGTGCGTGATCCAGCGATTGGATTCCAATCACACCGAACATACCAGTGATGTTCATCAAGCCAAAACTGCGTTCGAAATGTATTGAGTAGTTCATCGATTTCTTCTTCTATGATTGTATCATAGAGCGGTGCTATAAACATTTTGAATTGAAGTAGTTTGAGCTTTGGTAAGTGATCGATAATAATCTGTTTCCACTCATGCCCAGTCAAGTAGTGATCTTGCATATCAATTGTTAAATGACACAAATTAGGCAAATTCTGAAAAAGCTTGTGCAATGCACGTAATTCACCACAGAAATCGAGTTTTAAAGTCACGATTGATGTCACAACAACTGGAAATTTTTCATACTCATTTTTCAAATTAATATTCATAGAAAGAACTTGAAGGTTAGGTGCCTTTTGATATAGATCAGCTATATCACGCAATGAATGTGGATTATCATTCTGAATGCATAAAGATTCAAGAGTTAATGAGATCGTCTTTAAGTGACTGAAAATAGCATCAGATATATTATAAATCTCCAGATTTAGATACGTAAGTTTTGGTAGATTTCAGATTTGATTAAACAAGTAGGGTGTCATTGACTTTTCTTCCGAATCATAACATCGGCTGATGTTGAGATAAATCAGATGGATGAGACGATGAGTTTGATTTAGAGTTGTGATTATGTCTTTACAATGAGCATCACATATCGAAAGCAGCCTTAAGTTAATGAATTGATCGAAAGTAAACTCCGTTAAGAAGATAAATATACCTGGAGTTTCAATACGATCACCAAGACGAAGTGAAACTATACGATCGACGATCGATACACGACGGTTTCGAAAAAGGGTGTCGAAATCTTGTGAGGATATGCGTCGTAAATCGAGATAATACGCTCGGAAATGTTCGTAAAGTAACGTGTTAAAGCGAGAGTTGAGACCATCAAAGGCACGAAGTAGATCAAAAACGTCGAAATATTCGAAAACTTCAAGTAAAAGTTCGTTGGCTAGTGATTCAAATCGTAACATTCTTCGTTTGCTTCTCGTATATTTCTTTCTTACTCGCAACAAATGTACGTTGCTACGTATTGTGTTGCAATTTCTTTTCTTTACACAGCTTCTTTTCACTCTTTTTTTTTGTTTATTTTCACAAGAGTAGCGCAGCCTTGCACAAAAAGAAAGAAACAGCAGAACAAAAATAACATATTTACCTATTTCTCTGCTAAGAAACAAAATGATACAGTCACGACAAGCAGCTATGATCATCATGACGTCAATTGGAAATCTATTTCAAAGACCTTTCTTAAAGTTCGAAGAGAAAATGATACTACTAATGTTTTCATTTACTTGTTTGAAACGTACTAACTTTCAGAGTAATAAGCTGTTTACCTTTCCTTCTTCATTACTCTTCGTATCGTTTTCGTTATACTGTGTTTATCTTATCGCGTCTGTTTATCAACATCAACGTGAAATGTGTAAGAATATATGTTCATAAAACATACACTTAATTCGTGTTTCCTATAGTATGTGTATTCCTGGATTTTTGAATCATAGAAGTGAGTAATGAATGAGGACACGCAATATTGAATTAATAAAGACTAGTAACACTTGTAATATAAAGGATTCTATGACAAATACTGAGATCTCAAACTTACGCTTTACTTTACTTGTGCATTTTGGCTACTGAATCAATCAGAGTCATGGATCGAGAGAAGAATTTAAAATTAAAATAGCCTGCAAATCTCAAAAACAAAATTCTAAATCTGTTGTTTCCTCCTTAATTTTCAGCCGTAATACACAATGTATTTCCTAAACTGAAAGGATAGGTTCTGTCAGGCGGTAAATAATTCATTTGTCTGCTAGTCTGTCTTTTCACAATTTGAGAGTCACCGGTTTTATTCTTCGGTTCCAAATCATTTCTCTCTTTGATGATTATGTGTACGCCTTTTTGTTCCCCTATAGTCAAGAGATTTCATCTCATGATCCGATTAGTCATAGCTACTCTCCAAACAACTTTTCTTTTTTACCTAAGACTACGAGACAGATCAATGTATCAAACAGATACGGATCACATCCAGAAAATAAATCCTACGACGAACCTCAAACATGTTCTGAATCTACAGTGTAGTTTGAGTGTTATCTTGTTGTTTTATATTTTCTCAAATGCTTAAAAACTTTAATATTATTTCATTGATTTATCAACTGAACTACTGTATGTGCTATTCTGTTTATTTTATTGAAGAATGCATTAAACAATAATATAATTGTCAGTTATTACTGATTCCGGTCACTGAATCATGGTAGCATCACGACGAAAAGTAATTGTTTGTCCATCAGATTGAATGTGTTTGTTTATTTTTAACAATTGTTTAATTTTTCGTCGAAATCCAACATTTGAAATAAGCGATACATAGAAACTCGTTGCAAAAAATACGTAATTAAGTAAATGAATCAGCTCAATGAATACGTTTTCCCAAGCGATTTGTAACGGTGTTTTGTACCATGTTTGTGTTATATTTGAATATGTCAATTGAACTGCATATGGAAAATATGTAATAACAGCAATTATTGATTCTGTTACTAACATCTTAGTTAATTGTGCATCCATATCCTTCAGCATTGAATTTTTTTGACTGATGTTTGCAGATATACTATTCATAGGTACAACTCTTCGATTGGCAATGTCTCGCACACTTTTGATCAATAGATAAGCCAATATAGCCATTACAACAGTCGAAGAAAGTGAGGAAAATATCACTTGAAAATAATTATCATAGTCGTTATAGAAACCGTCGGGAGGACCACATACACCATTCTTTATTCTGTATAAAATGAGTCGATGACCAATGAGTAATAACCAAAATAAAGGAATTAAGATGATCATTTTATATGCTACAGAAACACGATTACTCCATTGTCGATATGCTTAAAATAGAACAAATTTATTACAATACAAGGTTTCAATTATTATCTAATCGTACTTACTATTAGATCGTTGTACAGATAGAAGTCGATCAATAATTGCAAATGAAAACAAACTAAATGAAACTATATTACCCCAAAAAGTACTAAATTGACGAAGTTTGCAGATAACAAGGTAACGATTCATTACTGGAATTCGAAAGCCATTTTGCAGTATGCGTGTTAATAATACGAAATTGAAATAATGACAATCAGCGACTGCTACTGAGAATAAATATACTGCATAAGATTGTTTTCGAAATGCTCGAGAACGATATACCAACATATTACCAATACAACCGAAATTACCCATAATCCAAAGAAATGAACCAAAGAAAATATTCAATTGATAAGGTGCAATTAAAAGAGAAGCACTAATAACACTAGTGGTATTATTCATTGTTTGTTATTTTTTAATAATAAGCGTCGATGTTTTAATACGAGAGAAAAATGGGATATGTGTAAATAATCTTTATGAAGCGTTTGATATATTTAGTATTTCCAACGTTCTTTGAATCCGTCTATAATAACACTAATCAAAAAAATATCAAAGAAGTGTTAATTATATCATAGAAAAGAGGATTGAAGTAGTTCATGTATGAGTATGTCGTTTTTCTAGAAATACTAAATCACTGTGACCCTGTGGAACATTAGTCTCATTTACACAAAAGATAACAGTAAGTGAGAATATGATCGAAGAAGTTTAATAACGTAGAAAAGCTGAAAATAAAACTAACGGGTGTTCCATAAAAGACTTTGAGGGAAAGAGTGAAGGTGCAGTATGACATAAATACTCTTACCACAACAACACACACACTCCTGCGAGATATTCTAACGCGTTTTTTTTGAATAATACCTCTTTTAACTAATCTTACCGCGTTATATATATAGCTATATATCGCACATAATTTCACGCGTGAGATATTCTAATGTGTTTTTTTGAATAATACCACTTCTAATTAATCTTGTCTTACTATATGTCATTAGACATTCCATACATTTTAATCCATGAGATATTCTAATGCGTTTCATTGAATAATACCACTTTTAATCAATTCTACTGTGTTATATGTCATTAGATATTCCATACATTTTCACGCGTCAAATATTCTAACGCATTTTCTTGAATAATATGACTTTTAACTAATCTTACCGTGGGTGTGAGTAATTGGGAGCATTTATTTTCCAACCATCTACATACACACCCATATCCTAAAATAATGGAAAATGTATCTATGGTTGGTGATTGATGCACAACTCGAGTTATTTTTGATGTCGATGCATAATATTTACGGCTGGATACCATCTTGAGTGTGTGGATGTGAGTGTGCGGCATAGTTAAGAAAATACCCATACTCTCATCCACTCACACCTAGATCCAGACCCAGACCTACATCCTCACGATGGAGATGGTGAACAAAAGAGTCATGTTCCCCTAAATTGACTATTCAAATGCAAAAGAAATTCAATATAATGTAACGATCAAATTATGCTAAATAAATATGACGAACATTTATTTTTATTAATCATTAAAGATGAGAATATGAGTGATGACGATGAAGATGATATTATCATGCATAGCTAAGTCCATATTCTCAATAAAATCAAGGAATTTTTCCAGGTTTATATGTATGAAAACTATTAGTTAATTAAAAAGTTCAAGTCAATCATTTTGTTTCAGTGATTTTCATTCGACGATGATTTTGATCATGTAAACCAATAAATTCACATTTTTCACATAAATTTATTCCACATGAACATTTGTAACGAATACCAACAACTGGATTCATAAAACATGAACTACATAAAATATTAGTGTGACGCATTTTACTTCGATTATGTAAGTAAACTGCATTGGGATATTCATTTGAATCTTTAATACATAATAATGGATGATTGTATGAATGATTGGGTTCATTTCTTGTTATACTAGTTGATTTACATGATTGACAAAAATCAACATCTATACAAAATAAACATTTATAACGATCACCTTTGATTGGTGACATATCACATCCATCACAAGTCACGTTTGAATGAATATTATTACTCAAACTTTGTTTTTTTATCTTATCATCATCATTAAATTCAATTTTACAAATATCGATCATTTCTTTATTACTACTTAATCTTAATGTAACAATTTCTTTTTCTTGATTAACTTGACCATAATATTTATAAATATAAACCATAATTGTTGTTGCACCAGTAAGACTTTGTTGGTGATTAGCAAAATATTTTGCTCGAATTGTATATGTACCTTTAACTGCTTTTCGAACCAAATATTCTTCTGGACCATATCCTTGTGTAAAATCACGACTAATTGTACCACCAATCATTGTATTCTTATGGCCATAATAACATTCTTCACTAGTTGGTTCAATCACATGTAAATCAACATCTGTATTATCTGTATCCCAAACCATAACTATTCTTAAATCTACAGGTAAATGACGAATTAAACGATTATCAATAGAGGTTGATATTTGTTGTTGTTCTTGTTGAAAAGAAAACATAAAATGATTATATTCATGTAATGCTGTTAATTCTATTTCACTAAAACGATTATCCCATTCACCTAAAATAACTTTTTTGAATAAATCTGATACTTCTTCAAGATGATTCGTATTCGTATTAGATTCTTCTAATAATAATGCTAAATCTCGAAATGATTGTGGTTCATTCGATCGTAATCTAAGAATATGTCGAAAGATAGTTTCAGCTAAATTAAAAAGACCAAGTTCCAAAAGTTTATATCCAACAGTTCGATATAGTTGTGGTGATTCTAATTCTAATTCTAATACATTTGTTAATATTCTTAAACCATAATATTCATATTCATTGGATTTTGTTGAATCAACTTTTGAAGTCATCAGAGTATGTTGAGAATTAAATGTATCAATCAATGATGATTGTGATAAAGAAGAAGTTTGAGTTTGAGAGAGAAAATATGAAGCCATATCAAAGTAAAATGATGGTGATTTTGAATAAGATTGACGTTCATCTAAATAAATTTGATAAGCTGTTTGAGAATTTGTACTTGATTTAATTTGAGTCATGTAAGGAGTTTGTGGATCCCAATTTTGTACAATAATTGTTTGAGTATTATTATTTGTGGGTAAAACATTGTTAGTAGATGTTCCAGTTGGGCTTAAAGAATTTTGCATTGGTGGTGAAGATCTTTCTACAGCCATTGATGGTGCCATACAACTGGAATTGCTTTGACGTTGATTTGATGACATCATAGAATATTCGTAATTCACACTTGAAGATCTCGACATAAAAGGTTCAGCGTTGTCATCCGAAGAGCACATTGTTGAGTTATTCGTTCGTGATAAATAACTGTTGTCTTCTATGTTTATCATGCCATGTCTATCAGGACTTCTAGATCGTCCGGTTAGGGGTGGGAAGTATTGATAATATTCTCCTCTTTGACTATCAGTGTGTGTTTTGAACGCTTTTGTACGATCATTTTCAGAGATGATTTTATCATACCATTGACAACGTTGAGCCCATAGTTTTAACACAGCTGTAATTTTCTTTTGTTTCTTTTCGTTTTCTTCTTGACTTTTGTTTTGTTGATATTTCATATAATCATTATATAATTTAGTTCGTGATCGATATGGACATATTTTATGTTCAATATGTTGTTGTAAAGTTTCTAATACAATAATTGATGTTAAATCACTAACAATCGAATATTTCATACCAATATCTAATATTCGTTGTTTATTTTTTTCAGGAAATGCTGTTAATTCAGCTAGCATTTGTTTAGCATAAAGTCGACGTAATAAACCAAAGTTCTCTGATGATCGATTAGCTTGTGGTATATCAAATTCTTGACGATGTATAACACCTGAAATAGTCAAATTAACTGCAATTTTAGCTGAACTTGAAGAAGATAGTTTTCCAACAAGTATAAATTGTTTTGTATTTGGTGTTAATGTTATTGAATGACTTGGATAAATATTATGTATATTTCCATTATTAACAATATCTATATTATTATATCGTGATTGAAAACTTTCAATCCATTCAATAATATTACTTGCATTGTTATGTTCAATGATTTTATCACGTGAAATATATCCACCACCACTTAGAGTTGTTAAATAATTGATTAATGGATAATTAATTGGATCTTGGACAACATTCGCATTAAAGATCCAGATCGGTTTCGTAATAAAATTATTCAATAGAATAGAATCATCATTTCCAATTGTTGATAGACAATCACAAAATAAAAAGTAATGTGTTACATAAGGAATCATAGTTGGAATAGTAGCCAATTGAAATATATTTGTTGCACCATCATAAGATACATTCGTTAAAATACGATGAATTTGTGACCAAGCATTTGGATCAGATAATTGAAATATATTTGGATCTTCCAATACATTTCGAAAGACAATCAATGCTAAATTAATATTAATACCTTTTGATTTCCAAATATTTAATATTCTCTCAAGTATATTAATTTCATAATTACGATTTTCAATATTAAATCGACTTAAACTTGCATCCCATAATATACAAATTGATATTGTTTGTCGATAATTAAACATATTATTTTTCCTTAATATTAATGGTGGTGCATAACATAAAGCAAAATAAGCTTTATCAGGATTATCAATATCAATTTCTACACCACAAAGTGATTGTGTTGCACTGAACTTTTTTAATTTATATGAAATATATTGTTCGCCTCGTTGTGGTTTAATATTGGTGAGGTGAAGTTCAGAACAATATTTACCATTTGTTTGAATAAACTGTTGATTAGAATTCCACTTAGAAACAAATGTTGGTTTTGAGTTATTTGAAATCTCTGAACAAATTAATTTAACATCTAAACTATGAAGAGTAGTTGTAAAATAAATTGGAATATGAAAAAGAAAACTATCATTATCGATCTGTGCTTGATCTTGATAAATAACACGAACAATTCGTGTTCCACCAGCTTCGATTGGATACACTCTTGTACGAAATATATTTCCTGCAACCATCTCAACAAAACCAGGATCAACTCCTTTTCGAACTTCTTTTTCAAATGTAACACGAGCTTTTTCTTTTTCAACAACAACACCATCAACAATTCGACCATCAACATCAAGACCTAACAACCAAGACAAGAACAATATTAATTAGTGTCTCTTATTTATTCAAAATTTGTACTCACCAAATCCACATATTGTAGCTGCTTCTGGTAATGTAAATTCAAGTGCACCTTCTAATCGTCGATTGTGAGTATTTTTAAATGTCATTGTTGTTGCCACTTGATGTATGAGTGGAAATGTTGCATTTACTTGTTGTTCAACATGTAAATTAATCATCTGTAATGGAGTAGATGCACAATCACCAAATTTCGTATTTTGCCCAAAATACATTGGAAATGACATTCGTGTGTTATTATTGTCATAGTATAAGGCCATGTTGAATACTAATTTATAGAAATCGTCAGACTAATATTTATCTAAAAATATCGAAATTATTACTTTCAACAGTAAAAGATAAATGTGTTTTCTTGTCTATGAAAACCCATATATATTTTTTAATATCTATTATTAAATCTACAAAAAACATTCACGAAGTCGCCAAATAAAGTTCTTTACTTTGACCTTGATGAAATCTATCTTGATTCAAAGTATTTCAAATTCAAATCAGTTAAACTTACCAGTCAATTGAGTAGGTGGCATTTTTTTTGTAACTTTGCATCAGACATTAGATCTCTTATAATTGATAAAACTGCTTAGAAAATTTTTATAGTAGAAAAATGATGTGATGTTATGAAGCGGATGAGGTGTGAGTTAGAGCTCTATTCTCTGCTTCTGTATTTGTCTTGAATTTCCTAAGAGTTACGCTCAATTCTATATGACCACATGAACAATAATCTTCTAGTATTTTTAGAGCTTGGTTGTATGAAACAAGAGCATCAGTATATTTTGTTTGATTCCTTAGAACATTTCCAGTGTGATTGTGAGTATTACCAATATGAATACAACCGGATAAATGTAGTTTCTTTACTGTCATTAATACTCATTGATAAACATCTAAAGATTTTTTCAAGTTCATCTTGTCGATTAAGACTTTGAACAATGACGCACAATGTATCAACCACGTAAAAATAATTTGATCGACAGTCTTCCTGATAGAAGGATTGGTTTGGATGAGGGTGTGGATGTGGACCATAGGTAAGAAAATCCACACCCATCATTTTAGGTTCGCAAAAGTACTGACAAGGTTTCTGAAAGCATTTTTTTTTTGGTTTTTCATTTTCTACCTTATTTTGGTTGTACTATTCTAAATCTAATTTTACCTGCTGCTGTTGTTTCTTTTTATATAAAACACCAACTTTGCGTCGCAATAAAAGTATTCCTGTTGCAAGCTAAATGATTCTTTTTATCAGTGTGACAAATAGATAATATTAAACTTGATCCAATATTTATTACATTCTCTACTGTTGGTATAAAAGTAAATGACAAATATGCACTGCAAATAATAATATATATATATGAACATGAGCAATGAATAAATGGCTGGGACTTTTTTTGGTATTATATTGATATACACCAGACCTTGAAATCGACCACCTTACCGGAGCTTTTTTTCCTCAGAGTAGATTTTTCTCGTAAATAATGGGTGTGCGTTCGAACAAAGGGTGGTCAGTGTGGGTGTGGTTATCATATCGTATCCACGCCCACCCTTTTGTATATTTTCGAATACATGTGGCTAGTGTGGAAACTTCATCACTATCGACATGTTTTCAAAAGCGAGTGTGCTTGAAAACGAGTATACATTATGTGAGTCCGCTGAAGTATGTTTTCAGCTTTTGTTACCTTGATATCTTATAAATTAGAATCTATTGCTAATCTACAATATAGTAATATATTTTTCAAAATATTTATTAATGCAGAAATAGTCAGATAATATAGTGATTGGCCTTTAAAGCTTTATTACATCTCACTAATTCATATTTACCGAGGCCAGTCAACATAAGGCTAAAAAAGCTGAGGGAGGCGCTATTCACCCGTGTACACCATAGCCAAGCTCTTCGTGCACCCTCATAGTCAAGAGCCTGTTTTCGCTTTTTAGTTATGTAGAGCAGAATCAAGCAAGGAATACCCCATAAAGAAAACCATCCCGTCACAGCAGTAAAAATCCACCATCCAATCAAGCATTTTTTATTTTCGTATCCGATAATTGTGTTCACACCAGATGTTGGATATCTGCTGAGAATCTCGTGCAATGCTTGTGTATTGATAATTTCATCACTTGGTATAATCTTGTGAATATTTTGATCGTCATTTGTCGTTGGTAGTTGCTCAGTGACCGATGCGCTTGTATCCACTGTAAGCATAGTGATCACCGTAATTTTATATGTGAAACTCTATTAATCTAAAAATGTCATATATATAAAGCTAATTGGTCATAAATACTCTATTTTGAGTTTTTATACCTATTATTGCAATATTAAAAGAAAAACAAGGAATTATGCATTCTACTTAGACTCAGAATTGCAGTATAATGCTAGTATCTCATTGAATCGGTTAAAGAACTCAGGCAAACTTCGACTTTTTTTCAATTTCTACTAAGAACATCGAGTTCATTTCTTAGTTATAATCTTAGATCGGTTCGTTGAGCGCACAATAGCAGCATATAGTATGTAACTACTAAAACTGGGTGTGGGTGTGTTCTATATTAGATATATCCACATTCACTCACATTCAAAGCCAGGTTATAATTGAAAGCATGAGTTATGAAAGCTATATCTTTTATGACATTGAGCATCATTCCATAGCAACCAAGCAATGCTCGTCTTTGCACTAGCTTAGCTCTTTTTCGTGAAAATGTTACATCTTCATATTCACTGAAAAAACTATTCAAAAACCTGATCTTCTTTATTTATACTCATCCGCAACACACACTAGTGCTCTAATTGGTCACATACACCAGTAAAGTTTTATTAGGGCTTCTAATAACAGTTTCTCACATTAGCCTTCAAGCAATCAGTTAAATATGGACATTCATACAAGTACGCAAGAAGACAATTTATGCTTGCTACACTCTTGTCTACGAGAAAGTTAATACTAAGCTTCCTCTATTTTTAATCAAAGCAACAACTATTGAACAAACTGTGCACTTATGATTATAAGTGCGTCAATAGACATGGAAACCATGATAAACGCCATTTTGTTCACAAAGATATAATAACTGATATATTAAATGCAAACTAATAACTGACAGTAAAAATGATGAATGGCAGAAGTCGTAAAAGACTAATATTATCAGTATATGACATTCATGTACGACATGTGCTGCATAGATGAGTTATTAGATAGAATAGAATGCTTTGACATATTGACATATTGACAAATATGTATTTAGTAACTTATTGAAACGCAGAGATCTTGTTCATCATTGATTGTTCAGAAAAAGTTAAAATATGCGTTGGTTTTTGTCTTAAAATCGTTTTACTCTTCAATAATACTTTCAATTCATGTCTTAGGCCGTTCTAACAAGTTCTCATGAGAATATCCTGACAAAATTTGTCAGAAAATCCGTAGTAATTATTTTTGTGTCGACTCTCTTTTTCTTAACTATATTTGAATGTTTTCTAGAGAAAGAACAAAAGCAAGTGTTGAAATTGTGGGTATGGTTACTGAAGTTTTTTCAAACACATTGAATTATAAGCGAATAAAGACAGATAATAGTAACCTAGATTAAGGGATAATAAACATTTCTTTCTTTAATGAAAGCCACGCACAACTTTATAATCGGCCGAGATTTTACAGAGTTTTTTTTAATAGTTCGAATCGGGAAATATTCGGGTAAAGCGAACTGTCGTTCTCAGTATCATGATGAAACAGTGCTAGTAAGCATTAAAGAGAATTTATCGCGACCGAGTCAATCGTCACACTATGACTTCGTTGATAATAGTATATTTTCCGAAACAGTGACGGTATTGTTTTACGGTTCAGCTTTCTCAACGAAGATGTAAGTCTTATAAAGTATCGAATAGTAAGCTTTGATTTGCCGAACAATACTAGAATCTCCGCCAGTTAACTAAAACAATCTAACTTTCATTCTTTTCCAGTTTAGATCAATTCTCGAAGGCTGCCATCATGATGGCATCTCTTCTAATTCGTCTTATATTGGTCATCTTTATTTTGAGTGTCTTAGTTACCGGTCAAGGAGCTAGAGGTGGCAGCAGCATGCGACGTAAGTACTTCAATACATCAGTCAAAATCGACTCTGTCGTTATTTTGAGGTTATCTAACCAAAACGAGGAAAGAGCCAAAATTCTAGCAATAATAAATACTTGAAATAAGTGTTCACTTCGTTTTTTAATAAAAAAAAACATGAGTTTCTATCTTTCAATAGATATCTGTTCTATTAAAGTCGTTGAACATAAGAATCCTCGGTCTTTTCAGTGGCTGCTATAAATTTGACTTTCGAAAATATTCTGTAATATATTTGAAAACATGAAAATATAAATGAGGGAATGAAATTTACTTTTTTATAACAGAATTCTCTACAATAGTTATGTGCGTAATGATAGAATAATCCTTTTCATTATTGAACTGAGTACAGGTACCGTTACTCGTGGTGGTGGCCGCGACGGTGGTATCGATGCTCGTGACGCCAGCTCCTCTTCAAATTTAGGAGACGATCCGGCGAACTCCGTTGCTATTGCAGGTGGCGTACTTGGTGGCTTTGCTGGTATATGTATACTATATTATGGTTGTAAATATTGGTCGAGATGCAAAGCAGCTCGTGCTAATAACATTGCCCTTAATAATACCCCGAGAACTGATACGTTTAATATACAAAATTTACCCCGTTTTCAATCGGGTAACTGGTTGAGTAGATATTACCAGTATGACAAATGGCATGATTGGCATCAGCTATCGCTTTCATTCAATCCAACACAATTGAAAGTGAATGGAAATGGTTTTAATGATGTCGGCACGTTTAAAATACAAGGAATTTACTCAATTAAAAGGCATCGAATGAAGCTGACAAAAACATATGAACGAGATACAGGTAATCGTATAGAAAACATGGGACATAAAGTAAAAATTCATCTGAAATGGAATACAATAGTTAATCAGTTTGAAGGTGTATGGTGTGTGAAAACGAAGAAATATCAAGATCAGAATAAATTTGAACTCAAACTAGATACTTTACAAGTGCAATCGATAGATTCAACTACTCACAAATATTAACCAGCTTCTTATTTTTCAATCTTCTGCTTATCAAGAACAGTATCTTGACGTTGTGTGTGTAAATGTGCCGATTCTCCGGCCTTTTTCTTGATCTATGCCATTTTTAGTTCGACATTCATTATATTATCAACGAGTTCGATGAACTACATTTCAAATAGAACCATCGATGCCATAAATAATGAAAAAAATCACTTATTTATGATTTACTAGTGTTTAGTTGCCATGAGCATTATTAATAATTTTTTAAACGTATCAGCTAATGTAATGAAATAAAGGTACGGATAAGTGAGAGTAAATATCTTTTCTATGCTCGTACCATCACGCCCTTAAGATAACTTGTAAACGACTGTTAGCGGAGATATCCAATGAATTCATATGAAATAAAACGATCTGAAGCGGATTCTGTATATGGAAGTCACAAAAAAATGCTCAACAATGAAGCGCTATTTCCTTTTTTTCAGAGGAAACTTTCAAATCGTGCTATATAATAAACGTATTGACGAAACTCAGTTCGCATGCAAATTAAATTATACAACGAAGGATTCTCATCCAGTAGATGCCGTTTCTCTAGAATTTATACAAAATGTTTGTTCACTCTTGTATTGAACTATCAGGTCTTATAGTTGTCTTTAATGTCCAACAGAGAAAAATAACCTACATTTTTTATGACAATTCAAATTTTTTCAATGACACTTGTACTGATGGAAAACCATACTAGTTGCATTTGAAAGAGAGAAGGTTGTGCATGATATACTTTTGTCAACTGATTTTGTTTTTTTCATTATAAAAATAGAAGAAATCAATCACATTCATTGGTAGAGCTGCTCTCATCAGCTTACTAAACAAGAGGAAACCTTTTTTTTGCAATTCATGTATATAGTCGGCTGAAAAATTAATTAAAAAAATTGTATATTTTTTATTCATTTCAATCTGTTTCAAACGAGAGAAAGACGTATGGAATTATCGCGCCTCTCGCTAGCATCTTATCGATCTCGTATCACACACTCGAGTACAAATGCGTCCCACTTAGTTCATCGTGTCGGCAGTGTTAGTTCACGGCCCACATCGATCATAAAGTTATCTCATGTTTCATCAGCTCCTTATCGGCCTCGTATCACGCGGGTAGGTCAAAGAGATCTTAGGTTGACTCATCGTAAGAAGAATTTAAAACCTCAAATGAGAACCACCGTGGAACGTTTGAGTAAGTCATCAGCTTCCTCTCGTCGTCGCATCGTGCCCATTAATCAACGAGATTTTGAATCTATTCGTGATGCCACGAGTATTGGTTCTCGAACTGCACGAGTAAGTTTGTCTATCAATATGAAATCAGTCTATCTAAACTTACGTTTCTATTTCATAGTCAAACAAGAGTTCGATACATACAAGAAATGGTATATCACTACCAAACATCAGTGATCGCTCGAATATATTTGATCAAAAATCTCAAGCGAATAAAAAACGAAAAAAGTAGGTCATCTT